GAGAGAGAGAGAGAGAGAGAGAGAGAGAGAGAGAGAGAGAGCCGTTAGCAAATTTCCCAGCCTGCTGAGGCATAGAACGATAAGAGGAGGTACATTTGAGGCTCAAGGCAAGGGGCAAAGATTCTATTGACCTTGGTGGAAGAAATAGGGGGATTTGGGGTGAGAAAAATGTCTTGTGTGAATTTCAGCAAAATTGTTAGCCTGTAGCTTTGCTTCCCATGGTACTATATAGTATAAGAAGGCCATGCGAAACACTCTCACTGCTGTCCTGGTAATGACCTGCAGCCCTCACATATTGGTCTCTTGCATGTTTTTTTCTATCTTCCCTATAATCCGCCTCACTTCCCCCTCAGAGGACTGTGTGACTTCACATCAATGCACAGAGGTCCCTGGGCCTCTGTAAGAGGCAACTATAAAGATACCTGGATCTTAGTCTAGGGACACTAGTGTCAGCTTCTGGACCAATTGTGCTGTGAAGATGTTAAGCCAGGCTTCGTGGTGCAGGCCTGTGATTCCAGCCTTAGGAAGACTGAGGCAGGAAGATGACAGTTCTAGGCCAGCCTTTGTTATTACAGCCAGGTCCTGCTTAAAAACCAAACCAAACCAAACCAAACCAGGCAGGAGCAGTAGTGCACATCTTCAATTCCCACATTAGGGAAGGAAGCAGAAGTGAAGCTCTGTGAGTTGAGGCTGGCCTAATCACATAGCAAGTTCTAGGACAGCTGGGGCTGTGTAGAAAGACCATGCCTCAAAAAACTACCTACCTAACTAAATAACTAACCACACACAACAAAGTGCTGGGCTCGCTGTGACTTGTTCTTGTGGCAGCAAAAAGAAGTCAAAGCCCCTCCACCACCATCCTGGCAATAGGAGGTGAAGCATGTGGGACTCCAAAACACCAGGCCATCCACATCTCCCAATCCAAGGTGGCACTCAAGTGCAAGGGAGTCTGGGAAGGATGTATCAGCTCCTATGCCAGAAAACCAATCCTGAGTGGAATTGGTGGCTTTTAAAGCCAGTTCTCATTGTTTGGGTCTATATACCGAGCATTCAGGAAGCCAAGGAAGGATAATTACCTAGAATCCAAGCTCAGCCTGTGCTACAAAGCAAGACTCTGTCCCAGAACAAACAAAAACAACTCTGACATTGTAGCCAACCTTGTAACTCTAAATCGAAGGCTAGCCTGGACTACCTAGCTAAGTTCTGGACCAGACAGGTTACTTAAGAAAACTGTCTGGAGCCGGGCAGTGGTGGCGCATGCCTTTAAACCCAGCACTTGGGAGGCAGAGGCAGGTGGATTTCTGAGTTTGCCACCACCGCCTGGCTCTCTGCAGCTTTAAATAAGACAGAAAACACTGGCTGCTGTGCTGTGCAAGGGCTCCACAGCCACACCCCCATGCTTCCTCCCTCCACAGTAGGCCCATGGCGGGTTAAGGTCCAGGACTGCTACTTGTCCTGTGTCTGGATGCCTCTTCCTGCCTCTCCCAGGACAGATCCTACAACCTAGCTGTAACAACGCTCTCCTAGTTAAAGATAATAAATCTTTAAAACAATGAAAGCAGACTGAAACAACTTCCCATGTGTTGTGGAGGATGGAACTCAGATCCTTATGCCTATGCTGTGTGGTTATTCTACCATTTTTATCATCCCAGCTGATAACAAAAATCTAAACACACAACCAAGGCATGGTGGTACACACTTTTAATCCCAGCACTCAGGAGGCAGAGGCAAACAGATCTCTTGAGTTCAAGGTCAGCCTGGTCTACAGAGTGATTTCTAGAACAGCTAAGGGTGTATAGGGAGACTTTGTCTCAAAACATAAAAAAAAAAAAAAATCGAAACCTATAATTAGCTTGAAAGCACTGTATGCTGGAAAACAGGCTAAGAAAGATGTGGGTAGTTTTATCTCAGAGCTGCCTGTTTTCCAAGGTTTTCCCTTTATGTGTGTGTTCTGATGCTCTCAGAGGCCAGAAGAGGGTGTCATAGCCCCTGAAGCTGGTTAGATGATTGTAAGCTTTCTGATGTGGGTGCTAGGAACCAAATTTGTATCCTCTTAACTGCTGAGCCAGCTCTCTCTAGTCTAGAGTATTCTAGAGAATACTCTTTCCAAGAGTATTCTCTGTCTCTGTGGACTTTTGTTATTCTCCGTGACCTACAGCAGGCCTGTAAGAGTTCAGGGATCCTTCCGTGTCCCATGAAGCTGCATCAGGATCCCAGCTACATCACTACTTCTGCCCACTGACCATTTACTCAGCCCTGCTTGTTTAATCTCTGAGACAGTGTCTATTGTACCACCAAGGCTGGCACTGAGCCCGCAGTTCTGCTCTGCTTCCCTAGTCCTGGTATTCAGGTATGCTTCACTATGGGTGGTTCAGAGGTGCTTCAGTACTGGTCATGAGTACGGCTCTACCAGAATTAAACCAGGGATGCTTACATCCCCATTCTTGCCACAGGTGACACAGAGCAAAGCAGCATGCAGCAGAGTGCTCTTGGAAAATAACTGCTATGATCGCTCATTCTATTGAAAAATTTTCAACCTACTGCTATCACCAAGGAGTCAAGGAACCTTTTTAACATGTGAGTTATATGCACCACTTTACGCATCTGTGCTGGAGGAGGCCAAAGCAAGGTACGGAAATCCTAGAACTAGAGTTGAACAGACATGAGCTATCATGTGGGTGCTGGGTATTGAACTCAGGTCCTCTGGAAGAGGAGTGAGCTCCTAATTACTGAGGCACACCACACACACACACACACACACACACACAAACACACACACACGCACGCAGGCACCCATGCACACCCCACGTGGGAGGGTCTGGTCCTTTTGTTTGTAAGGCAAGCGAGCACCTTACCCACTAAAGCCATCTCCCTGGCCCCAATAGTTACCTCCAGCAAATAAGGTTTTGTAGGTCTGTGACACAGGTCAGCAGACATACTGTAAACAGGAGGCAGTGCCCACAAGCACAGCTGTGCTGGGGAGGGGCAAGAGGACCCTGATCTACATGGGTTCAGACATCACCTGGGAAAGCTGTCAGTCTTGAGAAGACACAACTTTCAGAAGAGAAACTCAGATAGGCAGTGGCCCTAGCACGGCCTGAGGTGAATTTAACGGGGAACGGCTCTGAGACTGCCTGCTTTGGCCACTCTCGCTAGTGCCACGCTTTGGCCTCAGTCCTGGGGTTTCCCCAGGACATTCCAGCCCTGTGGCTTCTCTCACTTTGCTGCACCTTCAACAGAGCAAAAGGCAGCCGACGCTTGTTCACAGCATTCTTAACTGGCAGTGGAAAATGCTGGGGACTTTATTGAAAAAAAAAAAAAAAAAGCAATAAATAACACTGTGATAAAAACAGTTCAGAAGTTGACTGCACAGACTTTGTTATATAATCCAGAGGGTCACAAACGATTAACAGAAAAACAGAACAACCAATTGTCCAGATGAATTAAAAGCAGAAAGCAAATATAAAAGCCTCTCCCACATCAGCTAAACAATAAATATGCACAAGTGTGCCTGAGCCCTGTGGCTTCTTAGTTCACTGAAGTCAGTCAGAAGGCTGCCAAGACAGCGGAGTGGAGAACCAGGTCCACTCTTACAACAGTTACAAATAAATGTAAGACAGTTGACACAAGAGAAATAAGGCCTTTATTGGAGTTGCAGGCTGCCCGCTCCGCTGAGGTCTCTTGCTTTCACCTGTTGTTCTGCCCCAGTCAGGAAATGAGCACCTGCCCCATGATTGGTCCTTGAAGAGTGTGGAGGGAGGGAGGTGGCTGCAAGGCTCCATCAGCTGCTCAGTCTGCAGGTGAGGCCACCCTGCCCCTGTAGAGTGCTGCTCCCAGCTCACTGCTCTGCTCAGCCTTTGGAGACAATCCACCCATGTCCAGAGCAGGGCCAGGGATGTGGTCAGGATAAGGGCTGTCCACAGAATCCTGACCATCAGTCTCAAGCCTAATGGAAGCTAAGATTTTGTCTAGAAAAAGTACGGTTAAGGTAAGTCATTAAAATATGACAGAAAACACCAGAAAATAAAGTCTGCTTCTTTCAGAATGATTGTTGCAGAGCTGGGTAGAGGAGAACGCACATGGCTTGTATCATGATGACTTTATAAACGTAGCAAAATCCTTTCCTCTGTCGGGTTCATCATTAAAAAATTAAGCAGGAATAATTACAGTAAATGCATAATTTACAAAAGCCCTATATTTGCTCAGATTTATACACAAGCATTACAGTACATTCATTTAAAAGACTAAAATTAGGTATAAGAACATGAATTGACTCAAAGGATATTTATAGCTTGGATATACATGAAAGAGTAAGTAGCTATATAAATGAGGAAGTATAAGTTTACATAAATATAAGAAACAGTCAATTCTAAAATAGGTTCTCTATGGTATTTATGATTTTTTTCTTCACTAGTTTAAAAACTCTGTAATAAAATATCTTGGGTCCACATAGCAAGAGTTGCCAGATGGGGCTCCATGAACTCTGCACCGTCCGTGCCTCAGCGGCATCATCTGTAGAAGTAGTGTGGGTAAACTGCAAGTAAGCAAAGACACTTCCTCTCAGAACAGGCTGCCCACACAGGGCCACCCCATAGCCACCTGTCACCTAGGACCAGGCCCCAAGCATATGTCTAAAGATATTAAAAGCAGAAAACAAAAACAAACAAACAAAACCAGTCCTGATCCCAGTAGGATAGCAGTCCTGAGAAAGAGGGGGCTTAGGAGCAAAGAGGGATGAGGGCGGCTGGGCCTGGGAGAGCCACCCTTAGCTGGATGTTTAAACAACAGCTGTCTAGACTGAGGGCGGTAGTATCACGTCAGCAGCCACCTGATGACTAAACAGCACAGGAGGAGCCACACATGGGGAGCTGTACTTGAACAGCTGAAAGAGTCACACCAGTGCAGAGGACTGTTCTCACCCCTCACCCTCCATGACATCAGCCAACACCTAGAAAGTCTAGAGAGATGGCTCAACAGTTAAGGACACTGACTGCTCCTGCAGAAGACCCGAGTTCCGTTCCCAGCACCACATCAGGCTGCCCAAAGCTGCATATAACTCTAGCTCTAGGGGATCTGACACTGTCACTTGGACTCTTCTGGCGCCTGCACTCACACATGCACATACCCACTCACAAACACATTCACACAGACACACACACAGAGAAAAAATAAGATTTTCACCCTCTGTGGTCACTGTCCACCACCTGTGGCACCAAGTGTCAGGAGAACTGTATTCTTTCAGTTCCCAAATAACTGAGGTTGGCTCTCATGGTCCAAAGCTGCCAACGCCGGGTGGACATGAAGTGGCCCACCTGGTCTCTACTGGGGGTGTCTGGAGCAGCAGCTCTCTACTCACCAGCAGGAGGCTCTAGCAGGAGTAAGTCCTGACTGTGGCAGAGTCCAACCTCTGTGATCCGGACACACTACCTGTCTCCACAAGCATGGGAGGAAGCATGCAAACACAGCGTGCAGTTAGTGTTAAACATCACACAAGGAGACAAAAAAAGATATTCCACACTATCGGGACTTCTGGAGTAATGGAAGGATAGCCTGCTGAGGGGAAGGAGCCAGGCAGGAACACCATGGTAGCTCAGACGCTCCCTCTGAGAGCCTGGAAACTGGCAGTTAACTCAGAAGCAGCAACGAGCAAGCATCACAAACACAATCTCAGGCACCCATGTAAATGACAAATATGAAAGGGACCACCAGGTTTCTCCTGAGACTGCACCACAGACCTTACACAAGAATACTACACCTCCAAGCATCCACAGGTAAATCTCAGCCCCAAGAGGGACTCTGGGAAGGGCTGTAGCCACACTCCTAAGGTGGAGGGCTCCATGAAATGGGGCAGAGGTAAAGGGCAGGATGACCAGGACAGTGGCTTCTCTTAGGAAACCTATGCCCAGACTCAGATTCCATCAGATACCATGGAAACCACTGAGATACTGGTTGTCATTTAATAAACAGCCAGCATGGCCTAAGAGACAGAATGGGCCTGTGTACAAGGAGAATGCTAAGTTCCCACAGCCACACTCTCAGAGCCACTGGGACAGCTGGCTTAGTGGAAGGAATGCCTGCCATGAACACTGAATCTCAGCCTTCCTCCTTTAGATGAAGTTCTCAGCACAGCTGGTGGCCAGCAGATGCCTTCTCATATGTGAGAGTAGAGGAAGCCACCTCCACCTAGACACCTACGCCTCTTTCTAGGCTGCTTTCTCTCTAAACTCCCATTCTTAGAGCACTAGTGCTTCACTGAGGAAGTGTGGCTTATAACAAGGAAAAGCCTGCATGCACCCATTCAGCCTGAGCTAGGCTGGCACAGCAGACTCACACTGGTTCTTACGAAGTTGCTCTGAGCAGACAGACTGGACCTTCCCTTGAAACACAATACCGAACCATGGCCAAAGCAGCCAGAGCTTTCTACCTGATATGCTCTCGAGGAGTCTAGCCCAGTAAAGCTCTGCTTCTTTGCATGTCTCTGGTTTGTGCAGTGAGACCAAGAATTCGAAAAGAACATAGCTAACCCATCACCTGCATTGGCAAAGAGGAGCTTGCCTGTTAAGACTCAGGTTTGGCTGCTTCCAGTATGAGGCTGTCAGTTATTAAAACCTCCTTAGGAATATACGGCATAGCCAGAGGGCTTGCTCAAGAACATGCCTTCTCAAGGTCATGTGCCTTCTAGCAGCAAAGTTCTAGGCAAACCTCTGGCTTCTGTCTTGTCAGAAGTCCGGGGTCCACTCTGTCAGCTGTACCCCACCATCTCTGGCTGGGGACCATCTAGTTCAGCCTATCTTCCCTGTCCTATTAACAGGGACATATGACTAACAGAGCAGAAAAAGGTGGAAACTGCATTATTTACAATTTGCCAGTTGTTGTAGCTTATGCCTGTAATTTTAGCATTCACAAAGCTGAGGCAGGAAGCTTACTGTGACTCTGAAGACAACCTAAGCTACTACAGTAAGACCCTGTCTTAGGAGCGAGTTGTGGTCAGGGCTTTGGCATGCAACATAGAGCAGACACACCTGTGCTGTCTGTCAGCTCTGATCTCACAGCATGGGCTCTACCTAGTCCCAAGAACAGACAGTATTAAACCTATGGAAAACAGGTTAAGATTCAATCAAACAATTTTCTTAGTTTCTGTTACTTTGGTGGTTAATCGTGTTGATCCAATGTTAGGGTTAGCTGAACAACAAATACACCTGAGGAGCATGCAGCTGCACTCCAGTGTCCTGGGAGCAGTCAGTGGCCACTCCCCACATGTGGTGGTTACAGGGCCCACCACATACCATCCATCTGAACCTTCTTTGGCTGCATAGAGGGAGATGACATAGAGGAGGTGACTCGGAAGTTGGCAGGCAACGTCTCTGCAGAGCCAGAGGCTAAGCCACGGATGTCCTTTGGTCTGAACTTCTTCCTCCAGGAAGGTGCCCTCCTGAAGCTTTTGTCATCATCCTGGCAAACCAAGAAGACAAGTACTAACTAACAGTAATCAGCCAGGCCCATGTTCTTTGAATGTTGTTGGATCACAGGGCTCTGGCCATGTGTGTAGCTAACTTTCACCATGACAGCACAATTGCCTGCCTAGTCCAGATCTACAACAGAAAAGGGCTGTGGAGATACTCCTCTGGCAACCCCTGCAGAACTTAGATCAGTCCAGGGCTGTGACCTTTGTCACACAGAAACCACCTCACAGACGGGGTCACAGCCAACAAGACCTGTATCTTCAGAGGTAGCCTCTGTTCTTTTTGTCAAATTTTTTCAAGGCCCAATGATAACAGTCCTTACACGTGATGACAGGTTTCAAGAGGAAAGAAGTAACAGGTTTGAACAAATATATTTCTCAGACACATCTCTCTCCAAGACACAGAGCTCTTGGCTGGAGCAGAATGGTCATTTCTTCCTAGAATATAATAAAATAGTTGCTGCTTCTGGGCTTCACCGAGTTTTATGCCTTGATAAATCATTTGTGGGACATCAAAAGCCAACAATCAGCCAGGAATGCTGAGGGAATTGCGATCCCATCATTTGGAAGGCTAAGGCAAAATGCTGCAAGTTCAAAGCTAGCCTGGGCTACATAGTAAGACACTTTCTCAAAACAAACAAAACCCTAAATAGAAAAAAAAAATATTAAAATCATTCTTGCTGGACGGTAGTGGTGTGTGCCTTTAAAACCCAGTATTCAGGAGGCAGAGGCAGGTAAATCTCTGCGAGTTTGAGGCCAACCTGGTCTTATAGAGGGAGTTCAAGGACAACTACAGCTACCCAGAAAAACCCTACCTTGAAACAAGCAAAACAAAACGAAACCCATTCTTTTCTGGGCTGGGCATGCCCACCAGTAGACTGTCAATGCAACTGGCTCTCTCAACACCAGCATCTGTGTATGTATATATTTGAATTGATGTCCACACTCCTTAAGCAGCATTTCCCATATGGTTCTAAATGTGTTGAAATGGGGCCCACTCAATACCTAGGAATACACGTGTGGGCTGGGCTGGGCTTTAGGGACCAATTTCCAGCCCCAACACCAGGGAAAAAAAAAGCAGACAAAACAGAACAAGACCATCAGGCTGAGTGCTCACCTCATCAAACCTCCGATCAGTTCCTGTGACCAAAAGGTTGTTGAATTCTCTTTCCAAGACAGCTCGAGCCTAAAACAGTAAAAAAAGCCACCAAAGCTTTCATCAATTACTGAGAAGGACGCTGTTATAGCCCACTGCCAGGGACACTCTGACCCATGATGGAATCCAAACATTACATCTAATCTGTGGGTGTATTTGAGGGGGAGGAGCCATAGCAAGTACTATGCAGGAGGCTGGAGTATGAGCTAATGTTGCTGTTCTGTAGAGAAATGGAAATTTTACATTTTCAAACATGCTCATGAAGCAAAGAAAATTAAGTAAAGCAATGACCACAAAAGCTAAATTAATAAAAACTTCCATGCAGTATGCTTGAAACAGAAAGCAGATACAAGCATAGCACTAAGCTTCTGTTGACTCTCTATGGACATTCCGTCACTATAGAGCTACAAAAAGTCTTCACTAGCTACGAAATGTTAAACTGTCCCTGAACTGGAGGGAACAAGTGAGCATGTGCAATCAGGACTTCTGGAATACTGGCAAGGTATAGGCCTGACAGCTCTGGGGTCACCTGCGTATTCTGTGTTGGAATCTGTAACAAGAGTGCCAGGGCACTGAAATCGAAAGTCTCGTCCAAGGCCAGAAGTGCTCCATGGACACCACTCTCTATTAGGTTGTTGGCATACTCTTTAAGGCCAATCGACAGGATCCAGCGAATCACCCGGTCATTGCTCCACACAAGCACATCTGCAAGAGAGTAAAGTAAGTGTATAGTAGCCTCAGAAATGCTCCACTCACAATACCCTCCCTGCAGCACAAATGAATACCCTTCCTGGTACAAACCCTGAAACAGACCCCAAGCCCCCGGGTGCCAGCATCACAGATACCACAGCCCTCACATAGGAATCCTATCCACACCACTCTAAGAAGCCACTGGAACTACTCCAGGGAACCCAGGGGAAAGAGACAGAACTCATTCCACTTCCAGGAACAGAATGGAGCAACAGCCTACAAACCTGAGAATCAAAGCAGATTCTTCCCATCACAGACAGAGCCACCTCCATAGACTAGACACTTGCTCAGCCTGCATGTTCCGGGCAGCTATCCATGGAACACAGTTTGCTGGGATGCTGGGCACTCCCACTCCCCCCTCCACAGGAACTGTGCAGTGACCCAGGGAAGCAGGGCAGGGCCGAGGAAGCTCCCATCACTATCCAGCCCATGCTCCTTAGTCTTCCGGGGTTTCTTCTGTGTAGCCAACATATCTTGTATTCAAACTTTTGCTCAAGTTAAACATTTTTATTTTAATTTACTTTATAGTGTGCCTTATTTATTTAGGGTTACTATTGCTGTGATGACCATAATCAAAAGCAACCTGGGGAGTAAAGGGTTTATTTCACTCATGGTTCATGATCAAAAGCAGGAACTCATGCAGGATAGGAATATGCAGAGGCCATGGAGAACACTGCTTACTGGCTTGCTCCCATGGCTTGTGGAGTCTGCTTTCTTATAGAATCCAGTACTACTAAAATGGGCTGTGTCCTGCCACATCAATCCTAATTAAGAAAATGCCCTACAAGTCTTCCTACAGCTGGATCTTATGGGAACATTTTCTCAACTGAGGCCCCCTCCTTTCCAATGACTCTAGATTGTGTCAAGTTGACATGAAACCAACTAGCCAGCACATGATACAAATATCTTCAATGTTTTTCTCATTTATTTTCTTAAGACTAGGTCTCACTTTGGAGCTTCAGCTGGCCTTGAACAAACATGGTCCTTCTTCTTGCCTTAGCTTCCTGAGTGCTGGGGTCACAGACATATGTCACCATGCCCAGTACTCACAGAGAAACCGGAAGACATTCTCTAGCACAGAGGCTCTGGAGGCTACACCTTGTGACAGGTACAGTACTCCATTAGCACTAATGGAGAGCTAAGAATAGTCAGTCTAAAAATATGCCCAAGCACTTCCAAAGACAGTTCCTGTCAAGTGCAGGAACCCAGAGGGCCCCAGAGAACAATGCAGCAGATTCACCATTCTGCCCCCCAAATGCTGCTCTGAAAAAGAGGCCATTCCCAGGATTCAGGTAACAGCACAGGACAAACTGCCCTTCAAATGTGCAGTTTGTTTCTGCTTTTCTCTTTTTGTTGTTGTTGCTATTGTTTGAGACAGGGTTTCTGTGCAGCCTTGATCGTTTTGGAATTCACTCTATAGACCAGGCTGGCCTTAAATACATACAGATCCTCCTGCCTCTGCTTACTCAGGAGTGCTGGGATTAAAGGTGTGCACCACTACTGCCTGGCTACCTCTCATCTTTTTCATATTTTGTTTTTCTTATTAAAAACAGCATTTCTAGGGGTGTGGTGAGCAGCAAAGAGATTAAGTGACAGAGACTAAAACATTTCGTGCCCACTCAGTTCAGAACCATTGCTAAAATCATCAATGACTTCCTGACTTCTGAAACTGTCTCTTCAAGTAAGTAACTGTCTCCATCACTGGGGCTGCAGCAGGGAAGAAGGCCCTAGAGGAAAGCAGCCACCCTACAGCCTGTTCTGCTTCTGTATGCCCTCCCCCATCCATGCTGCTGCCCTCCACGAGTAGACTGAGGATAGCCTTGGGGCCTCCTACCTCTCCTGTGGGATCAAGACTCTTGAGTACCCAACAGCTAAGCATGTCATCCTTATCCCAGAGAGTATGCAGCACTCACCACTGTTCTGCAGTTTTGCTTTGTTTTTGTTTTTGTTTTTTTTTGGTTTGGTTTTTCGAGACAGGGTTTCTCTGTGTAGCCCTGGCTGTCCTGGAACTCACTCTGTAGACCAGGCTGGCCTCGAACTCTCGAACTCAGAAATCCGCCTGCCTCTGCCTTCCAAGTGCTGGAATTAAAGGCGTGTGCCACCACCGCCCGGCTACTGTTCTTCAGTTTTAAATGGCAACACACAGGACACACATAACCAAATGACAACACACTAATGTCACAGGAAAAGTACCAGTACTGATGACTATACAGGCAAGCTCTCTATCACTCCTTTCCATCTTCCTCAGGGTAGGCCAGTGCCTCCACCTAGAGCCTTTCAAGATTCCTCCTAGTGCTGCTTGGCAGGTGCTCCACCCCACTGAAGCTGGAGACCAGTGTCCAGGCAGGGAACTCACCTCTTGTCTCATTCTGACTTTCTTCTCTTTTTCTTTCCAGTTCTTTTCGGTCATAATTCAACCTTCTCAGGCACATAATTCCACACTGGAAACTGTTTCTGTTTACAGAGACACAATAAAAAGAGATTATGTGGAGCTCGAAACAGGGCAAGCCTCAGCCAGAGAGAAGTGTGGCGAGTGTCCACTTGCCTGTGGAAGCTGTCTACCATCTTCAGCTGCCCTCGAAGGTCTTTCTTAGTCAGGTGGTCCAGCATCCGGGCATCCACAAGGCACTCCATGAAGTAGCTGCGGTACTGCGGCAGGCCCAGGCTGGGCAGCCACTCGTTACCGATCCACTCATGGTTCATGTCCCCATATGCTAGCGTCTGCTTTTAGTAAGTGGGTAACATTAGTTATGGACTTCGAATCTCCCACATTTTCTGAAGACTAATGACAACACTGGACTTGGTAACTCCTGGGTGATCGATCTCCCATCCCATCACTTAAAAGTTAGTAAGACTTCAGACAAAAGGAGTCATGAAAAGTCTAGGGCTCACTGCTGAGTTAACCTATCTAAACAAGCCACAAGGAAACCACAGCCAACTGCAGAGCCCCTTCTGAACAGCAACTAAGAATGACCACGACTCATGAACAAGTTTGAAGGACAGGTTCAACTTGACCCATTAAAATTATCTCTGGCTGGTTTTGACTTTGGTTTTAACACTTTTTCATAAATAAAATGTTTATTTAAAAAGCAGCAAAAGCTGATTAGAAAAAAATTTAATAGCTAACAGAATTCAGTGAAGAAAAAGAAAAATATACAACTATAAACAAGACATAAATACTCCTTCCAACCAAAAGCACAAAAGAGAGGAGTGCTATAAAGCAGCTTTTCCTTGAAAAGACTCAGCACAATGCAGCAATTCTCAATTAACTTGGTCTACTTATGCTCTCCAGGATTCTCCACCTGACACGGGAACACTTCCCTTCTTTTTCTTGAGAGGGTACTACCATACTGTCCAAGACAAGATGCAGAACCGCACACTCCATCACACCAGCTCATGTGGTCCTGGAGGCCACTATCTCAAGGATGGCACATCACAGTCAACTTTCTGAGCTGCTCACAAGTTATGGTTGACAGTCGCACAGACTCATAACACATCTGGAATGTGTTTGGCTTGGTGTGATGCAGACTGAATCAGGCCTCATGTACAGCTTGGCCACAGAGCGACAGCCCAGCTCTCAATATGCTTAGAAGCTAAACTGCACAGTATTTTCTGACTCGAAAAACTAAATCAGAATCTATAATTCCAGTACTTATGAGGCTGAGGTCTGAGGACTTCTGCAAGTTGAAGGTTGGCCTGGGCTATGGGTCAAGATCCAGCTATAAAGATAGGTGGAAAAGATGGAAGAAAAAGGAAACTAGCAACTGGCCAAATACAGTGTCACAAATCCATAGTTCCTCCACCTATTCAATAGGCCAAGATGGGATGGCTGTTTAGAGTTAAAAGTCAGAAACTAGCCTTGGTAACACAAGACTCTGTCTCAAAGGGATAATGGCTAAAAACACCAAAATACCTTCCAAACATTTGTAAATTAACACACTTTCAAAATAACAGTGCAAGAATCTGTAATGCCATCAAATAAGACCTGATACTGAGAGGCTTATTGTCATGGGAGCATAATCTGGATCAACATTTGGGAAAGTGAATAGCGGAAAAGCATAATACTACAAAAGATACAGAAACACCCATGAAAGGCTCTCCCTTCACTGTGGAGAACTCAGCATTCTGGGAATGAAGTGAGCGCACCTCCAAGCAGCACAGAGCACCTGAGAAGGGGCTGAACTGAATGCTCATCCACAAGAAGTGCAGCTGCGTCCTCTCTAACTACCAGCACTGAACCACCAGCACGGGGCAAGAAGACACACAGAGCCAGTGAGCAGGGAAGGAAGTCAGTCGGTCCTTTCATTCACAAAGGACAGGACCAACGGAGGCAGGAAGCTGCACAACTGCCCCCAGGCCAAGACACAGGTTGTGCTAGGCAGTATAAACAGGGAGGGATCCATTTCTACAGACTAAGAACCAACTGGAAACCTAGGTTAAAAACATCACTTCTAATGACTCAACAGGTCTCTCCTGTGGAGATGAACAGGTAGAGAGAACGGGTGACTTGATGCTGCGAAATGAAAGCAGCCTCCCTCCACTGTTCACCTGCTCCAGCTAAGGCAGAAAGAATGAGTCAGACCCAACAAGGACACTGAAGCTCTACTGAAAGAACTATTCTATTACTGTCCCTAAGCACTCTGGATCATCACAAGATGTCATTGTCCACCAGCACAGGGACCCTCAGCTATTTTGTGGCCTAGCTCTGCCTTCTTTGAAGGGTAGAATGAGGAAGATCCTATAAAGGGCGGGCCAAATGAGGCAGCACTGTTCCATCTGAATGCTTCCTATGCACGCCAATCTCTTCTTTGTGGTGGCAGCTGCAGAGAGGGCTCAGTCCAGGGAGCCCTCCTTTTCTCCTAGGATGCTGAGATAAGCTAGGAAAGAGAGGACACACAGAGCCAGATGCCCTAGGACAGGAAAACTCTGCACAGCGCAGACACAACCCAGACTCAGCAAACTTAGGCTACAAAGAAGCAGGGCCATGGCCACACTGCATGTTGATGGTTCTGCAGTGTCCACACGTTATCCTGCGAGGGAGAGCAGGCTGAGGCCTTTGCCTAACAGCTCAGTTGGGAAGAGGATTGTGGAAGAGTGATAGATACAAGCCCCTTCTTTCACACTCCGCTGCAAAGCATGCTGCTCACACTTCCTAGCCTGAAACATGCATCTATTTCTACAACGAACTGGAATCACTCTGCATGGACATGTGAGGTACCCTGCGATCATGATAAATTACCCAGCTGCCTATAAGGAGCTACTAGCCAGGCTGGGTAACGTCAGGGAGGCAGAACATAGCAAGACCGGTGGTCCAGAGCCAGTGTCTTTTTTTTTTTTTTTGATCACAGCGACACCGATAGAGGGAGGCAGCTGCCTGTGGCTGGGAAAACTAAGAATATTATTTGTCCAGGTCTGCAGCTCAGTCTCAGCAATGAATGCTGCTAAAATCCAAGGATGGAAAAACTATCATGCATCTGAGCTGCCCGAATGGGGGGACTGAGAATGCAAATACAGCAAGAGGGCTCAGTGGGCAGAGCCACTCACCAACAAGCCTGAAAACAGTTCCATCCCTGAAACCCACATGGGGAAGAAAGAGAAGCAACACTCCTGCATTGCTCTTTGACCTCACTGTGGCATGTGCACACAGACATAGATAAACACAAATACCCAAATGTAATAAAAAAAAAAAAAACCTTAGCAGGAAAATGCAAATGCCCAGTGTTCCTCAGTGAGATCTTTAAATCTATGCAGCATTAGGGCAGCACTCAGTAAGACACTAACAGAGACACAGGAAAGACATCCTTGTCTTTGAGGTTTGCAAATTATTTCATACTTTTTCTATCAGGAGATCTTGAAACTAAAGTCACTCCAGCAGGGAATTCTGTGCGTACTTTTAAAAGGCGTGGGCTCCTGTGTGCGGGACCCCACATTGACAGAAACTTGTGCTCATGAAGAGCCACCACATAGGCTCCTGTGAGAATGTTCAAAGTTGTCCATGAGACGCTGCCAAGCCTGCTCTGGGCTTGTCTAAGTTTTCAAATCATTAACCACACAGAGCAGACTGAAATTCTAAGAACATCCAGAAAGACAAGTTCCACACTTCCCCACCCCAGACACTTTCTGTTGCCACACAGTTAAGGTAGGTAGGTAGAGAAAGACGCCAACCTGAGCCCAGCTTCCCTCCTCGTCTTCCTGATGTTACATGGTTAGGAATGCAAAAGAACAAACCATTAGTGTTTGTAAGCTATGGTAAGGCAAGCAGGCAAACGTGGATGGTTAGACACGTAAGCATGCTGGGATCGCAGCAGCATGCAGTCTGTGCAGCACCAGCAGCCTGGGGTTTTCATGCAAGAAATACACCCTTTCCATGCCAGCATATCAGTAAGAGGGAAAAGCTGGGTTCCAGTATCATAGTGAGGTGCTAATCTGAGCTCTGTCCCCAGGGCAAATCAATTCTATCTAAATAAGCATGTCTACAACTGTAAGATCCTGGGAAGAAAAAACTAAAGCAAAACAAACTCCAGTTTGTACACTTAGTTGATAACCTAAGAGGGGACATGTCTGTGAAACAACTGAACATTAACACTTTCATTCCCAACAGAAAGGCCAAAGCCCAAGCTGGTCTGACACAGCACGTGCCCTGCAAACGCAGGCTGCAGTGACTAACCGTTTGTGGTGTGGCTGTGAGCGTTTCCATCTCTTCATGTGTCAACCAGACATTTCCTGTGGTCTAAGGTACCCAGTGCACCAGCCATATCCCAGGGCCAGGGAAGCATGACAGAGAGGAGAGGGCACACAAATAAACTTCAGGCACAGGAGCCTGAGGCAAAGGCCACTCTTCACAGAAAATGATAAAAAGCCACAATCAACCCAGCCCCACTGCTGGCAGCTACACCCTGCCAGCAACTGCTCAACATAGAAGAGCTCACAGCTTCTAGGGCTGGGCTGTTGTGTCTACCCCTGGGATATATAAATAAAGAAAACAACGCCCATTTTAAACTTTTAGAAATGTTGGCTCTCTCAGAACTCTGCTCACTATCTTACAACAATCTCACTGGACCGGAGGTAGGGCTCAGTGCCAGAGCTGCCTATCAGTGCAAGGCCCTGGGTCTCATTTATCTCCAGCACGTCCTAAAGGAATCCCTCCCACAAGCAGCCTCAATCCAACAGCAGCAGAAGGCCCCTCTTCCTGCTGGCAGGTATACACCAGGGGACTAGCCCACACAGGCCAAAATTAACCATACCATGTCCCGGTTGCCTCCTTGTCACAGCTAGAGACAGGACTAAAATTTACATGCTTGTTACTGTAAGCTCAAGGGAGGAATCTATGCCACCCAATAGTATAGAGGGAACACTTCCAAGCTAAGATGGTGGTAGCTCCCCATACAAGCTGAAGAAGACTTTGGAGGGGCTTCAATGAACATGCCTTTCTGACATGAAACTACCAGGGAACAGGAGGGTTTGTGGCAACAAACGCCATTCTCTGGATCAGAGGTCTGAGCCACAGCTGAAGACAGAACCCAAAGTTCATCCCACAGAGAACAGAAAAATTTCACCACTTTAAGTTTGAGTTGGGGTGTGGCCTTAAGCTGTTGCAGAAAAGTATGTCTCAAAGATACTTCAGAGTTTTTCCAGTCACTAAAGCTAAGTCAGGTGTACAGCCATGTCTGGCTTTCCCTTTTGGTTAACTTTTACAGAGAAAAATTACTGTCCAGTAGAAAAAAAAGTACATTCTCTGGTGACCAGGACAATGGGTGGCAGCAGCTATCCCTCATTAGTACCATCCAAGGTGCTCTGCAGAGCTAGCACTCCAGAGAAAATGTGAACAGCTCATTCCTTACATGTTGCCACCGAGCCCATGCCGGACAGAGTGACAGAGTTCACAGACAAGGAGGAAAGGGGCTGGACACAAGTGAATTTTAATTCATCAAACTAAGTCTAAGTGTTCTTCCCTTGTGCTCAACAAATGGCAGGGAGGGAGTGTTCTTCCTGTCCACACCCTATCTAGAGGGGGTACTGCAGATAAAGAGGCACAATCCCACCTCTGCGACAGACCAGCCACAGGCCCAGACTAGCAGCCACCCCTGTCAAGTCAGAAAGCCTGGATCCCTACTATTGCACTGTGAAGAAGTCACAGGGTGTGTGTGTATGTGTGTGTGTGTGTGTGTGTCCTGCTCAGCAAGTTGCTCATTCTGTGTGAATGCAAATTCCAACTCTGCATGGTAAGGGGTCATCAGGCATGAAAGGCAAAAGGCAGGAAGTACGAGTATAGAGTGTACACTTCCTCAGTTCCTGCCCAGAAGCCATCAGGACAACAGGAACAATACATGCATGTGAGGGTTTGTTTTGCTTTTACATTATTTATTTCTACTTTTATGTGCATTGGTGTTCTGCCTGCATAGATGTCTGTGTGAGGATGTTTGTGTGAGGATGTGTTCTGCCTGCATAGATGTTTGTGTGAGGACGCCAGATCCCTTGGAACTGGAATTACAGACAGTTGTGAGCTGCCAAGTGGTGCTGGGAATTGAACCCAGCTCCTTTGGAAGAATAGCCAGTATTCTTAAATGCTGAGCCATCTCTCCAACCCCACAAGTAAGGTTTTTTAAGAATCAATTTCTACCTTTAAACACCTTTCTTCTTGAGTTTTTTCTAGAAAAGCTTTCATTTTTAACTTGAGTGGGGTCTCAATATGTTATCACTGCTGGACTCAAAGCTCTGATCCTCATACTCCCACAAAATCAAATGGGCCTCACGCTCAACTTCAGCCAAACTTTCATGAAAACCTTTGTCCAATGCCGGGGATGAACCCAGTATCTTTCACATGCTAAGCAAGTACTCTACAGAGAGCTATACCCTAGCCCAAAAATGCTTGCTAGTCTTGGGTCATCCAATTCTTTTTTTTTGTTTTTGGTTGTTTGAGACAGGGTTTCTCTGTGTAGTCCTGGCTGTCCTGGAACTCACTCTGTAGACCAGGCTGGCCTCAAACTCAGAAATCTGCCTGCCTTTGCCTCCCAGGTGCTGGGATTAAAGACATGTGCCACCACCACCCGGCCAAGGGTCATCCAATTCTTATAAGCAAGTTCTAAGGTTATCTGCAGCCATGTTTTAAATGAGACCTTCTGGGGGTTGCAGGTTGAGTGGTCTGAAGCCTTCCAGGAGAGTCCTTCCTCCTTGAGCGTAAGAGCTTATAACTGGAGACTTACCGTCCTGGATGTGGGTGGGGCAGAAGGGCTAGTCAGTGACATTATCTCTTGGATGGCCAGCCGCAGCTTCAGTCTGTGCAGGGGGTTGCTGATGCCAATCTCCCGTTGGATCTCAGTGTCTGACAGGGCTGACATGATGGCACCACTCTTGACATTTGCTCGGCAAGCAGCCACATACCAGGCAGGCATCCCAACCCAGAGCTAGACATGGGAACAAGAAGGCCAGAGCATCAGGCAAGTGTGAGAGGTCTTAGTGAGCTCCTATACTGCAGCAAGTGAAGAGGACTCACCTCCAGCCACACCACCACTGTGGGCCCATCCCACTGTGCGAAAGGCAAGCCTTGCCTGCGGGCCTCCTCCAGCAGCTCATGCCTAGGAGGGAGACACATTCAAAACAACCAGTTAAGTAGGCATCTTGGACAGGTTTCTAAACACATCAGGTGCTCACCACTTTCTCCCAGTCTCCAGCTACTGGTACCACTCATAGCACACTAGCTGTTGTTTACTACAGAATGCCTGCATGACAAGCTGGCTGAGCCTTTATCTCCAGAGAATCCCACCTTCTCTCAAAGAATGAGCACCAGCTTGAGAGACACCCAGTAGCCCTTAAACCTAAGTTCATGTAGCATGTGGGCAAATCCTAGGCACCACACCCTTCACCCTGGCTAGAAAGAGAGCACATGTAGGCTGGCAGATGAATACCTAGTGCTGCATGTCCTTACACCTAAAGAATGGTACCGCCAAAACTGCAAGTAATGGGGCACATCTTTAATCCCAGCATTCAGGAGGCAGAGGAGGGTAGATCTCTGTGAGTCCAAGGCAAGCCTGGTCTACATAGTGAGATCCAAGACAGCCTGAGCTACATATAGAGATCCTGTCTCAAGAAACAAAACAGAATGGTTTGAAGCCCTGGGGAGCCAGCACAGTGGGCAAACTGCATCCTAGCACACACCAGGTGTGCTTCTATCCCCACACACAGGTTCTTTCTCAAAATTGTATTTCTCACTGTGTGTACGTGAAGTAGCCAGAAATTCAGAATCTTTTTTTTCTAAAGACAAATACTTCATGTGAGATGCAGATCTGCCAAATCAAAGCAAACCCCCAAATCCTGGCTCCATGATAACTGCCAAGAGAGGGGCTTTCCCTCCAGTCACAATGTCACAGACAGCTTCAAGCCTGCCTTCTTCAGTCACTGTTGGCTCCTATGGCCAATGGCTACTTTCTGTCACTGGCTTCTGGCTAGAGGCAGATTCTCAGGGCAGCAGCACTATTTGGTGTCTCAAGAAGAGTCAAAATAGCACTTCTGATCTGAGGAACAGGGCTACTCAAAAACCAGAAGAGACAGTCAAATAGTGCTCATGTGGGGCTCAGGAAGTGAGGGTCTGTGGGATTGACAGCAACCCTGGCTATCAAGGGAGAGAATTAGTGTCTTGAAGCACTTGGTGACTGGTGGACTTTCTGCTTCCTCCAGACAAACTCTCCTCAAAGACAGCTAGTATCACTTATCAGAACACGCAGAGAAGCCACAGGAAGCAGCATAGTCACTCCTTGCAGATCAACCCCAAAAGATAGAAACTCTGAGGACACAAGGCAGCGACCATTCTGGGTACGTGGCCTGACCACAAAGTATCTAAGCTAAGTTCACACTGAATGGACTAGGACTGAGACGTTTGCTAAGACTTTGGCTATCAGCAGTAACAGATCCAAGCAGAGAATGGGTAGCTAGCTAAGCAAGCACACTGCAGCCCTCGGTGTCTGGAGTCTGCTGCACCCTTGGGGTGCCCTGAACTCCCTCCAGCATTGGAAAAAGCCTTTGCTGGTTCTTAGAGCCGTGTAACAGCAGGAACAGTGTTGAAGCAGTAGGACATGAATTAGGAACCAGTAAGACAACACTGAGGACAACCAATTATAAAAAGCAGGACCTAAAAAGGTGACTAGAGCTGGCTTCCCTCTGCCTCCTTAGCCTTCCCTATTGGGCAGTTTGTAAGCTTATAGCCCAAACACAGCCATGACAAACCTTGCATATTTGAGTCTCAGATTTCTTTTCTTTTTTCTTTTCTTTTTGGTTTTTCGAGACAGGGTTTCTCTGTGTAGCCCTGGGTGTTCTGGAACTCACTTTGTAGACCAGACTGGCCTTGAACTCAGAAATCCGCCTGCCACTGCCTCTCAAGTCCTGGGATTAAAGGTGTGCGCCACCACCTTTAATTTCAATTTCAGATTTCTTGAGGGGTGCACATGGTGAGATTCACCAATCATGTGTCATGGAACATAATGTCAGAACTATAGACATGCAAGGCTAGCTGATTCAATCCCGAGATATCTTGTGAGAACAGTTCTACCTCCCTCCTCTCCACTGCATCTGGGAATGGGCTGACCCCTTGATCATAACAATACCCTCCCAACTCAGCCAGTTTTCCCAGGTAGACTTCTGCAGACTCAGACTGCCAACAGTCCATTGAGCCTTTCTGCTCCATACAACTGCTAAAGTAAATGTAGTAAGAGGGATGTGACAGTTCATGCTTACAATCTCAACACTTAGGAAGCTGAGGCTGGAGGATTGTCATAAGTTTGAAGCCAGCCTAAGCTACACAGCAAGACTCTGTCACAAAAGGTAAGGAGGGCATTTAACCCCCACTGACATTTCTTTTCTCTTTGAGTTTTTTGAGACAGCTTTCTCTGAGTTTAACTCCAGCTGTCCTAGAACTTGTTCCATAGACCAGGCTGTCCTTGAACTCACAGAGATCCACCAGCCTCTGCTTACCAGGTGCTGGGATTAAAGGCATGAGCCACCACACCTAGCCACATTTATTTTCTTACGAGTCAATTTTCCAGGTAACAAAAACTTTTTTAGCCGATGGCCCCAAACCTTAAAACAGTGACAAAAACAAAAATCTTTTAAAAAAAACTCTTTCTTGGGTTGTGTCTGTATGCAGTGTGTGTACATATGTGTAGCATATGTACATGTATGTGCGTTTGTATGTATATGGAACCTAGAAGTCGACTTCAGGTGTCTTCCTCAGTGGCTCTCCACCTTACTTTTTTGGAACAGGTCTCTCACTAAGCCTGGAGCTCACTGAATGGGTAGACTAACAGACTAGTCACCGAGCTCCAAGGACTCACCTGTAGTGACAAGTTTGACAATTCTGAGTTTTGGTTACTTTAAAAAACACAGAAATACTCTAAGTAAATGCTTTTATTTTAATCCCAGGTGTGGGGATGTAAGGCTGCTTTGTAGCAACTATGATCTGCCTCGTGCTCTAGCAGAGGCATGGTTTTGCCAACTGCAGATAGTTTCTGGGATTAAATGACATTTGGAGTCCCAGGAAATTTTCAGAAGGGAGATATATATATCAGGGAGATTATATATAATCTCCCTGATAGGTGGGGTTGGTCATTTAGAGAGGTTGTTTGCAGTTTGTTAGTAGTTGTGTTCAAAGAAGAAACAAGAAGAAATAAAGTAGACTCAGGGATCTCTCTCCCCTCTATCCTTCTTTCTCTTCTATCTAGTGATAGGGGGTGAAATGGGGGTGGGAGGAGGTAAATGGTGAAAAAAAGAAGACTCAACAAAGTAGCTAAGACTGGATACATCCACCTGTCTCTGAGTCCCCACCACACAGAGATTTCACATGAGTGCTGGAGATTCAACCTCAAGTCCTCATGGTTACATGACAGGGACTTACAGACTGGGCATCTCCTCAGCCCAAGAGACCCTCTTCTAAAAGGCCTACATAGCTGTCTGTACTTCAGGTCTAAGACCCAAGAATGTCAGACTGTTTGGAGGCATGAGAGCAACAGTGCTGACCTGGGCCACAGGTGCTGCTTTCAGCCTCAATCCCACAATCTCCAACATGGCACTACAATCTCCAACATGGCACCAGGGGAGCAGAGGTTCTGCTAAGCCTTCTCTTCCTGGCTGTGAGATATAACAGGAGTACAAATCTATAATCCTCCTGTCTCTGACTCCCTAACACTGAAACTGTGGACAAGAGCCACCATGCCTAGCTCCTAAATGTAAAATGGCTGCTGTAACACAAACTCACGCAGCAGAAGCATTGTCTTTACAACTAGACCTGAAGAACTGAGGGTGTGGCTCTGCAGCACAGTGCTAGCTGAGCATTCAACTGAACCTCAGCCTTCATCCTCAGCATTTCAAAGGCAAAGGAAGGAAACAGTGGCAGGAAGTTGGTAGTCTTAAAAATGCACTCAATTCTATGAGGAAAGGCCCATGTACAAGGACTGGCCCCGGGGATTAGCTGGTGCTTTTTGGTTACCTACTCCATGATACCAGTAAGCAATGCAGCTCTCCATACTCCACACTCAACCATTTTTATTTGCAATATGCCAGCACTGTCCCATTGAGGCTCTGAATGAATGCCAAGGGGCCTTTCTTCCCTGACAATAGCCACTGCAAATGTCTATATCAAATGAGCAAGCTAGGAGTCCTAAGGACATCAGTGACATCATTCTGACAGGGAAAGGACACAGGCAAAGACCCTCTGAGAAGGTGAGCATTGAGGGTAAAGCCTGGTATCCTTAGAAGCATCCCACAGCAAGAGTGTCCATGCAGTCCAGTTCCCCACTTGTGAGCACACCACAGCACCACACAGAACTGGGAATGTCCTGAAGTTTGTGGCTTTGGACACTGAGGAAGTGAGGAAAGCCCCTGCCCTAAACATGCTCAGCAATTCCCCAAAGCATGAGAGCAGTACTAAGCAAATTTGCCAGGCCCTTGCCAGCTCTCCCCTGTCTGATCCACTCAGCAGGCAAAAGAGATCCTTAAGTCAGGGGCTGGCCACAGGAAGCATTCCTGAGAAATGAGTTTGAATCTTCAATACACACTCACAACATACATTATACACACTCAAGTCAGATCACAGGTCTGCCCTTCCGCACCCTATGCTCACATTCAGAATCACAAGTAAATTGAAACATTGGGGAAATTTAGACCATTTTCTCTCAAATGAAATACAAAACCTCTAGAAGGAGAAGAATGTGGTGACACAGCTGCCAGGCCACACATAGCCTTGCTGTTTTCATTATGGTGTGTGATGTGAAATGGAACACACCAGTGGAATCTGGGGCATAGAAGTTTCCCAGTGTTGTTCCAGGAGGCAAGAAGCTGTTTTAATACCAAGTTTCATACTGCCAAATGGCAACTCCTAAGGTGCCTCAAAACATTTTACTCAAAGACAGCAATATTCCAGATCAAATTCAGATGGTAAGAGATTTCTAAAAAGTTCCATTTACACTGAAGGTTAGGGAGACCACAGCACTGCTAGTGCTGTTCTTACCTAGAGAGCCTGGTTCTTACCTGGCAGACTGACAGGCAGAGCTCATGACTGGCAGTCTCAACAGGAAGGCCAGCACCACCCCAGGTGCAGTGCACTGTCTCTAGAGCACTCAGACCCTCTGCAGAGCCACCCAGTCAATCCTGGCTCAAGGCCTCTTTTTCCTTCTGAGTTCAGCTGTCACTTCAGGTCTACATCTTCTGCCTATTCTGTGATGCACTGTTTCACCCTATCTATCTGCCTGCCTCCCTCACTGTTTCTGAATGCAGCAAGCTTATAGACAGTAATTCTCTGCAGGGGAAACCCACACACTTCTGTGCCCCTGGAGTTAAACAGTAGTTCTTCTCTTCAGCTCAGAGATTTAGTTTACTGGCTTTTTTTTTTTGTTCTTTGCAAACCGAAGGCCTTGCACACTATGTGTTTGTTTTACCCTGAGCCACACCTCCAGTCTTTCAAGACTTAGTACAGAACTGATATTTAATATGTTACAAATTCTTTTTTTTTTTCAAGATTTATTTATTCATTTTATATATGTGCTCTCTATCTGTATGCACACCTGCCCACCAGAAGAGGGCATCGGATTCCATTACAGATGGTTGTGAGCCACCATGTGGTTGCTGGGAATTGAACTCAGGACCTCTGGAAAAGCAGTCAGTGCTCTTAACCACTGAGCAATCTCTCCAGCCCCATATTACAAATGCTTAAGTATGTCTGTGATAAAAGAGCACAGTCTACCAGAAAACACAGATGGCCATTCACATGGACCCAAACAGTAACTGTGACTCCTCTGCAGCTCAGTTGTTTTGGACTATTTGCAGGGCTTAGACCATTTATTTGAGACTGGGTCAAATTTAGCTCAGGCTGCCCTTGTACTTACTATGTAGCAGAAGATGACCTTGAACTTCTGATGCTCCTGCCTCTATCTCTACCTCTGGGATTTGACATGTACCACTATGCCCAGTTTCTATTGCGCTGGTGAGGGCCCATGACTTTGTGCATTCTAGGTTAGCACTTTATAGCTGAGCCATATCCCAGAACAGTTATTACTCTTTTAAGATGCCCACCATCCCACTTAATACTCAGAAAAACTATCCGGGGTGAGCTGTTGTGACTTTTATCTTACAGATGAAAATAGGCACAGAGGACATGGTTCCCCAGAATCACAGAGCTGACCTGAGCAGGGTAGGATTCAGACTCCAAAGCAGGGTTCTGGAGCATGCCATCTCACCAAGGTACTTCCTACAGTGGCAGGAATCCAGGCAAATACCTTCCATGTGTCAAAAACATTCTCTGTTCCAGGAAGTGTGGGTTAAAAAAGATTGTAGTTGTGTGTGTGTGTGTGTGTGTGTGTGTGTGTGTGTGTTTTAGAAGGGGGGTATGTGAGTATGTATGTGTATATTCATGTATGTGGGTACACTCCAGATACATGCAGAGGCCAGAGCTAAACATCGGGCATTTTCCTCTATTGTTCTCCACACTACTTTCTGAGACAGGGATCTCACTGAACTTGGAGCTTGTCCATTTGGTTAGACTGGCTGGCCAGCAAGCTCCAGGGATCCTCCTGCCTCCACCTTTCCTCCCCTCGGTATGGAGTTACTTCCTCAGAAGGCTGTGCACACATACAGCCGTGTACAGAATTTGAAACCTAAATACCACTCACCCAGGAGACTGCCTTGTATGGAGACACAATGAGAAGCTTACTTTTTCTGAAGTTTACGATTTTTCTCAGCTTGTCCTCCCAGTTTGCTGAGTCCCAAGGCATCTTGAGATGAATTTTCTGTCTCTGAAACACCAGCTACAAGGAAGCAGAGGCCCCAGACTAAAGTGAATCAATATGGCAGAGTTAAGTTCAGGTCTGCTCTCTAAAGGCCAAGTTAAGGTTAAACACTCAAGAGCTATTTCTGACCAAACAACCCAGTAAACTGCTTAAGACATGACACCTGGTATATCTGAACTGTATATCTGAACTGATAGACATTGCTGTTTGGGTCGTGTATCTGCAGACTCTGAGGCCCCACATTCCCTAGAGATCATCCAGTAGCATGGTGGCATGTGGGAGACAGGCAGACCCAGAAGGCACCCAAAAGCACCCCGGGATACCCTTGTTAAAATGCTTACTGCAAACCTACCAACCTTGCCCTGGTGACTCCTTGCCCAGTGGACCAGGCCGGCCCTTTTCCTTCTTCCCAAACAAGCGGCCAATGGAGGATTTGATGCCCTTCTTCTTTGGGGCTTTGTGGAGGGAATCCTGGCTACTGTTACTGCTGCTAGGGTTGCTCACGGGGCCATCCTGAGAGCCTGTAGAACTTTACGGAAAGAAAATTGACTTTACCAGGAGCTGTTATCACAACACAGGAGTCTGTACCACAACACAAGCACTGCAATACTTTCCCGGGTTGTTTTTAAGACAGGCGTTCACTCTAGCCTAGGCTAGCCTGGAACTCATGACAACCTTGCCTTAGCCTTGAAATCACCAAGCTTATAGCCATGAATCACAACACCCAGAAGACACTACATTATTAATAACTGCTCCTCAAAGTTCCTAAGATGCATCTAGTCTCTCACAGTATGCTGTGCAGTGACACAGGCTGCTGAAGAGGCTAGAATCAAGGTGGGTTCTGAAACCCCAGCTTCTTTAGAACTTGATATACCTCTTAAGAGGAGGCCTGGCCTCCAACTAGCTGACAAAGGAGGCCTAGACTCAGTCAGACAGAGTTGCTTGCAGGCCAGCAAGTGAGGGAGCAGCAGAAAGGAGATGCCCATGAAGACCAGAGAAATTAACTGCCAGTCAAGAATGATGATTACTGTCTGCATAGCTGGATGAGAGCTACCATTCAAATGCCCTCCCCAACCCTACTCAGGACAGCACAGAAACTCTACATAAGGCCATGCAATGATTGTCTATCTCAGCAACTAAACGGCTTCCATTTTCCTGACAGGAAGCATTAATAAAGAAGTGGGGAAACCATGGACTGCCCAGCAAGTTGGAGACCCATGAAGGCCAGAGAACAGGAGAAGCTGGGCTCGGGCTGTCAGTAGAGCAGCAGCATCCAGAACCACACAGGCACCTGTTTGTGAGCAAGGCTGTGAGGTCCTGGAGCACCAGGTCCCCAGACAGGACCTTCTGCTGGAAACTACCTGGGGCAATGTCAGTAACTTCAACTGAATAACCTGAAACTCTTTTATGTTTTTTTCCAGGTTATGGTTAATATTCTTAAACCCCAGACAAGCACAGCTCCAGACAGGCGCTGCTGTCCTCAGCCCCACTCCTTACTTCCTCAAGTCCCTGATGTCCTCATGGCTGACGGTGTGCAGCGCGCCCTTGTGCATCCTGTCTAAGCGCAGGGGCCTTGGGGAGGAGGGGGGGGAGGTTTCACATTTTATCGTTGTCTTGTCGTCTCGTACCTCGTCTCTGGAAGCTGGCAACTGAGGGCAAGATAAGGGCAAGAACAGTGAACAGTGCACTAAACCTCAATGTAAACATCTACAAGCCACTTTCTGCTAGCACCAGAGGACAGTTTGTTTGTAGTTTTATTTTGAGGTGGGACCTTGCGAGCATTACCACTTCAGCTTCCCCAGTGCCTGAGTTACAGGAGACACCACCGTGCATTTTAGTTCATACCATCTTGAGGACTGCTGTCCAGAAGGGAACCAAACAGCATAAAGCAATGTAACTCACAGCCTATCTCCCTGGGGAAAGTATGGAGCAGGCAGACATAGGACACTGACAAGTCTTCCCTGAGGTAGTCTGGGGACATCAGAGGCCAATGCCCAACAAGGCAGCCAAGACCTGATTCAAGTTATCAACCTCATTTTAACCAACACAACAGGGCAATCAGCTGTCACTGACCAGGAGTTCTGACAGACCACTCCGAGGGAACACTGAGGAAGTAGATTCTTCCCCAGCAAGTGGCTTCCTATCTGGGGCTTGGGAACACACAGATCATGAGCCACATCCATGTACATGGCTGCATTTCTGGGTGTTTGGACTACGGCTATATGTGCTGTAGTTTAAGACCTTTGGTTTTGATAAAATAATCCCGCGTATGTCACTAAGATGGCCGTGAATACGTACAGAGGCTCCACAGCCGTGAACAGATTTACCCAGTTTGGATCCTATGGATCCACCTGCACTGTCTAGTTTCAGGAAGCCCAAGAGGACTGGCAGCCGACTGCTGGAATGGCACTAAAGGGCACTGGTCCCACCGTAGCCCATCTGCTCAGCGTCAGGCTGCCTCAGCTCAGGACACTCACTACCCAGTAGCAGATACACTCTACATCTCCCTGTCTCAGATGATCTCAAAACAGCGGCGGACATCATAAGTCTGAGCCAGGCTCTGAAGAGCACATGCTAAGCAGGCAGAAAGCCAAGATTCCATCCTTCTCCCTAAAGCTACTATGGCTAGAAACTTTGGAGGAAATGTTAACAGCTAAAAATGCAATCAATATTTAAAACACAAAGCAAAGAATGAGCACAGGAAGCCGGGCAGTGGTGGCACACACCTTTAATCTCAGCACTTGGGAGGCAGAGGCAGGCGGATTTCTGAGTTCGAGGCCAGCCTGGTCTACAGAGTGAGTTCCAGGACACCCATGGCTACACAGAGAAACCCTGTCTCGAAAAACCAAAAAAAAAAAAAAAAAAAAAAAAAAAAAAGACTGAGCGCAGGAGCAATCCGTATGATGGAGATGTGCACTGTTATACTCTTGACCAGAACCTCACCCCACAACATCTCTCAAGCTGGTCCCAAAATCCTGACGGAGACTCACAAGTGGGCCCTCTGTGCCCTTTGAAGAAGGGGTGGCACTAGGACTCTTCAATGAACCAAGTAGGGAAGTGACCTTCACTTGCCAGTGATAGCAAAGGAGAGGCGGGGCACATCACAGTGCAGCATCTAATCCAAGCCTGGCTCTATAGACCAGGTCTCCATGCTCAAGTGGAGTGTGGCTCACACACTGTTTCCTCACTGACACAAGCCAGTTGGGCTGAGATGATCACCATCAGGGCACTGGAAAGTTGTGTCACTGTAGGCACCTTGTGTGGCATGGTTTCTTTGTTTGGAGACAAGGGGTAGGGATACGGTGGTCTTGCTTTGTATCCCAGACTGTCTTAGAACTTGTGACCTTCCGGTTGTGCATGGGCACTGTTTGAACAGCACAGATACATAGCTTTTTTTTCAACAAAAAAAAAAAAAGAAAGAAAAAAAGAAAGAAAGGAAGAAAGAAAGAAAGAAAGAAAGAAAGAAAGAAAGAAAGAAAGAGAGAGAGAGAGAGAGAGAAAAAAGGCAAAAAGACAACAAACCACAGCACCATCAGGGCCATGCTCACTGGCAAACATCAGTGGCAGGTGGGGATGGAAGTCACAACTACTCCACTCTACAGCCGCTGCCTAGGAAGTTTGGAGACAGGGCAGGGCTCATTGACTGGAGCATGGAAGATCAGAGGTAGAATGTCTCAACCATCAAGAGCTACTGCCAGCTCTTCCCAACTGTGCCCAGCATGCTGTACTCACACCAACTTCTAGATACAGGGAAGCTGGCAAAAGGCCCAAGGGTTTAAAAAAAAAAAAAAAGTGGCTACCAGCTCAGCTTTTGAAATCAGACAGACCTGAACACACGTCTGTGCCCTAGACCATGAGACAGATGCTTCAGCTCTCATACTGATAAATGGAGTAAATATGATGACCTGTATCCCACAGAGATGTATGCAAGGTTTAAAACATTGGTTCCAGTCTCGAGAGGCTGAGGGAAAAGGACTGCTATGAATTCAAGGCAGATCTAGGCCACCCAGTGAGTTTGAGGATAGTCTGAGCCATGAATTAAGACCTTCTCTCAAAGAAACAAAATTGTTAAAAAAAAAACAAACAAAATAAACAAAACCAAAAACCAACCAAACAAAACCAATGCCTTGGCCACACACTAGACCCATGGCTGGCATGAGCTCCCTGTGGGCCAGCCCCAGCCTGTCCCAGAGCACACCTCTGTAGCTCGGCCTCAGGAACTCTCAGTCTCAATTCTGAACAGCAGACAAGCATGCAACGATCAGAAACAGATGCTTCTGCCTCAGTGTTTCAGGGACAGGCTTCCCACATGACCACCATCATGACATGCAGGGTCAGACTAAACACTGCTGTGAGATGTCAGTTACTTCTTGTCACATCACAGTAGTGTGCCACTCATGGAGACACAGGGTGTGTAAGGTCAGCAAGTGATTTACCTGTCTCCGGTGCTTCCTTAAGTCACTAGGCTGACAGATGCGTGTGAATAAAGGAGAGAGAAAGCAGGTTTACTACACACGTTGGGGAAAAGACTCAAGGACCAGTGAGGCAAATTGCTAAGCAGGGTCAAAAGGACAGACACAGGTTGAGCACTGAGAGGAAACATCACTGAAAATAAATATTCTCAAGATAGTTTAAAAATGATGCAGGTTTCCCAGAAGGCAACACTAGTTATTACTTGGCTAAGGCTGAGTCTGAACATAGGAATGCATTAAAATCCAGCGGACTTCACTGAGCCAGCCTCTGCAGCTAGTTACAAACACACTGGAATGTAATAATTCCTCCAGGAGCTGGTACACTATCTGATATAAAGTCAAACAAACCTGTTTTGAGTTAACTATCTACTGGACATTAATGTAAAATCCCTACCTAGAAATTTATTTACAATTCTTCAAAACTTTGCTGATTGTTTAAAGCAGTAAGAGCAAACAAAGGCTCCCCTGTGTGAAAATGTATGGAATAGTGGAGTGCCAGAGAGAGCCTCTACATCTTACAGTATACACAGCTATTGATGAGAATTCATCAAAGACAGCAGCAGGTAGCTGAGACCCATGGGACACCAGAAGCAAAAGGGGCTGTGCCTGTGCACAGCTCCCATCAGCACATGAGGTTTGTCATCTCTTCATACAGGACACTCCCCTGCAGAATCACAGGTCGCACACCATTTCCTGCCTGTGGATACACACAGTATACACAAGCAACAGAACAAATTCTTAACATGAAAAAGCCCCCCCAAAAAAAAGAAAAGAAAAAAAGGGGCTGGAGAAATGGCTCAATGGTTAAGAGCACTGACTGCTCTTCCAGAGGTCCTGAGTTCAATTCCCAGCAATCACATGGTGGCTCACAACCATCTGTAATGGGATCTGATGCCCTCTTCTGGTGTATCTGATGACAGCTACAGTGTACTCATAAATAAATACACCTTTAAAAAAAAAAGCCCAATAATCCATTCTTCCAGCATATTACAGCAGATGTGCACTTGGGTGCCTGGTCATCTACAGGAGCTGGAGGAGGACTGTCCCAGCATACAGTGCTAGATGGGCAGACAGATAGGAATCTGGGGTCAGGATGATATGGAAGCAGACTGACAGTCAGCAGGTCTAAGCTGAAAGAAGACACACAGCTATTCCTAAAAAGTGTTTGGAAGGAGAATGAAGACACAGACCATGCCATGAAAGGTAACATACCCACTGCACTAATGATACTTACTACACAGAGCATCAAAACACAACAGCCTATACTATTGAACATGCCGTTAAAGTGATTCTACCATTTAATTACATGGCCATTGCCAATGCCCAGGAAACTGCAAATGAAAGCAGCAGCAAAACAAGTGCAGCACAGCAGGTGGCTCTCAGGAAGTGCAGCAGCTCAGAGAGTGGGTCTGAGGTCAATATGTAGGCTCTCAGGACTACACAAACATGCCCTCAACAGTCACTGGGTGTCCTGAGATCCACACACCTGGTTACAGAATTTCTGTGACAAAAGTGTCCCAAACTGACCAGCCAAGATGCTCATCTGTTCTAGTGCCATAGCCAATGGGTCTTCTGAGTGGCCCTTGTGCCTATGGGCTTAGAAATATCCCTCCAGTGAAAGGCTAAGGGACTCCTTTACACATTTTAAAATGTGTTGGGGATGGAAGCCAAGCCTGGCACAGGCTAAGCAGTACTCCCTCCACCACCAGCCTCCATGCCAGGCTTTCCGTACCTCTTCCCACATGCAACGCCTCTCCACAGTTACTTCTGCTGGAAACAGGCAGCACAGCCCCTTCTAGCTGGCATCAGACCCCTGTCTAGCATCCCACAACTAAGTGCTGGCCTGGTCACTGAAGTATTATATGAAACTATATAATATATTTGTATATTATATTTTATATGATTTTTATATTATAATTTATACAATTAACTTGTTATTTATATATATATATATATGTTAATTTACAAATTTACATTACTAAATAACTAAATACTAGTTAACTTTAAAAAAAAAAAAAAGACAGGTTCTCATGATATACCCCAGGCTAACCCAACTCACTACACTTAACAGGTTAGACTCAAATGCACAGAGATCACCTGCCTCTGTCTTTACTCCTACAGCTTTTATAATCTGGAACCTCTTGGAGGAAGATGTGATTTCCATTTGTAACCTTTCCCCAGCAGGCTGAAGTAAAAAAGGGCCCACTTACCAGAGTCATGACACCCAGCCTGTCTACCTCCCGGGCAGGACTGTGAGGGACCCTTCTTGGTGTGGACCGACCACTGCCTGGAGGAGAGGAGCCAGCAAGAGAGGAAGCAGGGTAGGGGGGGATGGAGCTCATTGATCTAAAACGACCAAGATTGTCCAAGCTTCCACTGCCCACTCTGCTCTCGATCTCCTCTGCCCGCTGCTCTGTATTCTCCTTCTCTTCTTGTATCAACCTAAAATACAAACAAGGCCAAACTTCATCAGGAAGCCCTGTGTGTATGTAAACAGAACAAGCCAAGTCCAGCTGGAGTAGGGGTCTTGTGTGTGAGCCCAGCAGCTGGAGGCTACAGCAGGAAAAAAATGCTTTCAAGATCAATCTGGGCTACAGCAGGAGATCCTGCATCTAACAACAGAACACTGGCGATCCTAGCATTGTCAGACTGCCTCCCTCCACTGATAGCTACAATGTTCCTGTGCTCGCTCTTAGCACAGATGAAGGTATGTTAAGCACTGGATGACAGAAGGAAACCCTTCTGGTCCACTCTGCTCACACACCAGCATCCTGCATGCTCTATGTCTGTCCATCGAGGAACAGCTCTCAGTGGCACATCGGCCCTGTTTCTCTATGCATGGAAGGACCGAAGAGTTTCACCTCCCCCAGGATGGTGCAGGGAGGGGGGTAGGCTACCAGAGGTAAAGGCTATCTCAGAACCCCAACTGCTCTGCTGTAGGAGGCTGTAATGGGGATGTTGAGCCCAAGTATGTCATGCTTTCCCAAGAAAGTAAACTCCTGCAAGACTCCTCTCCTGGGTTTTCAAGTGTACAACACCCTAGGCCCCATCATAACATGCCTACCCCTGTACAGCATCTACCCCAGTCTCCTCTGGCTGCCTCTCAATCTTCTTCCTTCCACCCTCACACCTTCACAACTTCCACTCCAATCTCATCCCCACCTTCTTCCACCTTCTACTTTCTTGTTTGCTGCTCTTATTTTGAAACAGAGTTCTATGTAGCCCAGGCTGGCCTCAAAATTACTTATAGTCTAGCCTGGCCTTAAACTACTATTCCTCCTGCTTCCACCCCCAAGTGCTGTGACAGATATATGCCATCGAACCCTGATCCTTCCTACATTGTGTCTCCTATATATGCAGATACATACCTGATCTCTTTGTTGATAGCATCCAGTTGTTCCTGAAGCATCATGGCCAGTGTCTGGGCATCAGCCTGCCCACTGGGTGACAGCAAATCAACTGAGCTGAGCAGAGTATCTCGGTCATCTTCACCATCAGACACATCGACATCACTCTCAAATGCCTGTGCCACATTTGCCAAGACGCTGGCTTGTTGGGCCCGTTCCCAGTCCTGTTCATTGAGGGTCTGCACCTACCAACAAGAATACTATGTCTCAGCAGGCAAGAGTGACAGCAAGTACGCTACAGGCAGGAAAGGCTGCTATCAGAAATGTAAATGTTTTAATTCAGTCCAAGGCTTTGGGAAGATGCCTATGCACCTGAGCAGCTGCTGCTAAACAAGAGACACCTGACAGACAGGAAGGCTGGGCACTATGGAGCATACTAATAATCAAAACACCTGGAAGGCAGTGGGTGCAGATTTGGCAACTAGACTGGGCACATGCTGAGCCTGTCTCAAAGTGAGAAAGCAAGTGCTTATCCTACGATAGTAATGCCTCAGATATTCAGCATCTATATTCAGGTCCTTTGCTTTAGTGCGAATTAAAAAGGAAGCCTATAGCACATTGAAGGGGTGTGCTCAACTGCCATGGACTGATGCTCTAGGTATCAGCTTCCCAAGCCTGGTATACTGATAAGCACCAAGAAAAGCCAGAGGAGGAAAGCAAAGCAGGCACCTGGACACAGCCAGTGGCCATGATGGAGTTTCCAGGGAAAAGGGCAGTACAGAGAAGAGCCCTGTTGTGATCACTGCCCACAGCAGCCAGTGTTAAATCCACTGGTGGTCAATGAATGCTTTCCCCTTTCCTCCCCTCCCAGATGCCCTCATCTTTCCTCCAGAAGACTACATCCGCTGTGGCACCCTCTCTCAGCTGGTTTATCCCAAGATAAGAACATAGGCCCCATCTCTCATCTTGAAACAGACAGAAACTGGAAAACCTTACCCTGCCCCAACCTCCCGCTCAACATCCCACTTCCTTGCCCACCAGCAAAACCTCTCCAGCAACTGCCCATCTACCTCTGTTCCTTCCTCTCCACTCCCAAGGGTTCAAAGAGGGCAGAGCACCTTCCTCCATAAGAGCTACTACAAGGCAGTGCCAATCAGCCCTTACCAACTGTCTTAACCTTTGTTCACCTGCTTGTCCATGCTGTTAGCATGCACAAGCACAGGCGTGGGCACAGGCTTGGCTGCAGTCCTCCCTAGACAGGCTTCTCATATGAGCCCAGGACCCACCCCTCCTAGCTTGTCATTCTCCTAGCCTGTAACACTCACAGTGCCTGCCTGGCTACTCTAAAGTCCAGGTGTCCATGGTACCCATTTCCTGCTTCTTATCCTTGGCATAGACTCCAGCAATTTGAAAACAAACTCCTCTCTCCAACTGGAGGACAACTCTTATGGGTCCCATGTGGGGAAAGACCATGACTCACAATAATTGAGAAAATATGCCTGACACCTTCTCAAACCAGGTAGTGAAGGACCTGGGCTTCCTCCTGGCTTTCTTCAAATGTGAGCTCGTGAGAAGTCCATGCAGGTTCATCAGCAAGGGCCTCTGGTGGACACTACATCCACACTGCCAAAACTTCCCCATCTATAAGCACCTGAGTCCCTGAGTCGTGCTACCTGTGACTCCTGAGGCCCATGAAGTGCATATAGCCATGATATCAGCATAGAACTTCATGGTTCTGGCCACAGAGCACTACCCAGGTACATACTGTACTGTTGTTCACTGCTGTAGCTGTGCACTTCTCTTGACCTCATGGCAATCCTCCTACCTCAGCTTCCTGAATGCCAGGATTATAGATATGTGCTGTGTCACCACATCTGGCATCATTTATTTTTATTTACTATTTCAAGTACGTACTAATTAGCATCAACAACTTAAAGGATATCTTATGAAAAATTCTGTTCTTAAAGAGAGAACTAAAACCAAAAAGCAAGCATACCCTAAAAGCAAGCTCTTAGCCAGAAAAGCCAAGGAAAGGAACATGGGGGAAGAAGGAGACCGAGAGTCTGTCCAAGAGGAATAGGTGACGTTCCGCAAGCGGAGGCCTTGCCTTGGAGGGCTCGTCCCGCAGCGCTGCCAGCCGGCCCTTCTGGGGGCGCCGCAACACTGCACTGGTGCTGTAAGCATCCACATGCCCGTCTGCCACAGAGAACCTGAAGTCCGGGACGCTGCCCAAATGTGGTCGGCTGAAACATGGGAAAAGGTGGGTAATCAGAAGACAAGTAAAGTGTCAAGTTGGAAAGGTCTGTGTACAGAGTCCCCACAGACCAGTCTGAGAGCTCCTGGCTACCCAATTCTGGCCAGGAAAACCCACCCAGCTACTACACTGGAAGGAGGAATGGGTGTGAACATCTGAGGCTCACTTGAGAACCTCCTCCAGGGGAAGGTCATGCAAGGATGCCAACTGTAGCCATCACCTGCTCTGTGGCTTTTCTGCTGTGCCAAGTACAAGCTGGTGGTCACAGCATTCCTAGGAGTAGGTAAAAGCTAGGGCTTAACACAGTGGTATACAGGGTTACAGGACAACACCCTGGGTTGAAGAAAACTCTAGAAAAAGGAACAGGGCTGAGCAACCAAGGAGGATCCGACCACTAGCTGTTCCTATAGCCAACATGTAGAGGAAGCAGAGCAGAAGCTTGGGCTCAGCACCCACTCTCTCTCCTCCCAGTACTGCCCTAAACCTTCCTGGGAAAAAGGATAGATACCCTCACTTCAGAACTCCTTCAGAGACAACTCAGGGAACTCCCCCTGGAGCTGCACAGGGGACCAATGGGACTTCACAACTCATCCCTTTGGCAGCACTCTCCATGCCTTAAAGATGTGAGATTCATGGCTTCCTTTTTAACTCCACTTCCCTCCCAACTACCCCACTTCTTACTCCTCAGGAACCTACTCTGCCTCAGCATGATTCCAGTCAGAGCTGTAAGCTGAGGAGCTGAGCCCAACTCCATGTTAACTGCAGGTAACTCTGGGACCTGGGGGCGGCTAGCCCTCCTACTCCCCATGCTGTTTCCAAGCTTACCGCCCAACTCTCTACTCTGTGGGGCAGACCACAGCAATGTGACTTAATTCACTGTCAAGTCTTATGGAAGCACCCAACGGTCCCACCAGCTGCTCAGTGTCTGAATTCCTCCTACCCAGGGCAGGGCCCCACCCCTGCAAACAGGACAGCCCCTCTCTGTTCCACCCAATATCTCAAGGACATGGAGGAAGATAGTAGGGCTCCCAGAGCCAGTCACCCTCCTCCTATCACTTGACCTGTCACTCTGCAGGCTAGCCAAACATGAGCATACTTCCTCTATGTTAAGTCCCCTTCAGCTCCTCTCCCTCCCTTTACACCTAAAACTCCTTTTTGAAAAAAGTCACACATTAGCCAGCTGTGATGGCACATACCTGAATCCTGGCATATGGGAAAGGTGGGAGTGTCATGAATTTAAGGCCAGTCTGGGTTACAACAAGAGACCTTATTTCAATTGAAAGAAAGAAGGAAGGAAGGAAGGAAGGAAGGAGGGAGGGAGGGAGGGAGGGAGGGAGGAAGGAAGGAAGGAAGGAAGGAAGGAAGGAAGGAAGGGAAAAAAAAAGTGGACTCGCTTCTGTGGACACTGTGCACTCACTTGCACAAGAGAACACGCTGCTTACTGGCTTCCAACAGCAGGTCTGTTGCTGCCACAGTGATAGTATTAGTCTCTCCATCACTTTGGCCATGACTGTTCTGTCCCATGGCCCTTGTCATTATCTTCCAGTGTAGTGACCCACCTCGAGACTCTCCCTCTGGCTTTGCACTGAGGGTTTCTGGATCTATAAGGGCATCTTCTCCTCCTGGTATACAGTAGGTCAGGTAAGAAGAGGCTACAGGAGGCCTAGCTTGTATAACACAGGCCTTCCAGTCTCCTTGCCTGCTCCAAGAGGAAATCTGTTTGCTATCTAATAGTGTTACCTCAGTAAATTCTACAGATCAACTCTCATAAGAAAAACCAGAAAAGTAAGACCCAGAAGAACTGCTTCTACAAGACAGGAGTGCTGCCGGGCGGTGGTGGCGCACGCCTTTAATCCCAGCACTTGGGAGGCAGAGGCAGGTGGATTTCTGAGTTCGAGGCCAGCCTGGTCTACCGAGTGAGTTCCAGGACAGCCCGGGCTATACAGAGAAACCCTGTCTCAAAAAACCAAAAAGACAAGAGTGCTTTAGGGATGTGCACTAAGCACTGTGGTCTTGTCAGGAGCTCATTCCTTCCATGAGATAGTTCCAAATGTAGCACCGAAGCCATGAAACAGATTCTGAGCAGCTGCCCACAGTAGTCCCTCCTGCAGTGGGACTCCTCTATGAGGCCTGTCTTTCCACTCCAATCATGTTCTCTCGCCTGTCATATCACAGGGCACCTCAGTCAGCACATCCAAATACTAAGAGGCCTCTTCCTGCCTTCTGGAACTCTACTTGCTGCCCACAGAGGCAGCAACAAGCCCTTACATACCCACAGGGCTGAAAACTAGCCCATCTGTGGCACCATACCCATGAAGAAGTGAAGGACCTCTCAGTCTCATCTGCTCCAGCTCAGCCTTCAGGGCTTCAATATTCAGGACAAGTTGGTCCTAGAAAACAGTAAACAGCTTCTATGGCAACTCTCTCACATGGCTTGGGTACCTATAAGGCACATTTCAATTCTGAGAACACTTTTGAGTCCTAGAGTAAGCAAAACTTGGGTCTCCAAATCCATGGATGCCCTAATGAATGAAAAGCAGTACTCCTGGTGATAGGCAAGTTAAAAGGGAGGAATGCCAGAGTATAACATGCACTGACTGTATGTATAAAGGACCCACCTGTCCTAACCCACAGGCTGCCAGTTCTTATTGTCTCCCATCCCAACCCACACAGCAGATCCCTGCTGGTCCTGTCTCTTATTAGAGGCCCATGCTATTAGTCTCAAACAAATCCCCCAAGGACCTAGGGTTGCAGACATGTGCAGAAAGTATTCAGCATGCTCTCCAAGGAGCTGCACATGATGAGGACTAAGAGAGCCCCCAGGACAGTGTGTCTCAATTCCCTCCAAATACCTGTGGTCACTGTAATAACTCAGTTCTTCCCAGAATTCTCATTGAGTCAGAGAATGAGGTACCTTATCATGCTGGGTCTCTTCTAGTTGCTTCTTTGCATTTTCAACTTCCCTTAGTAGAGAATTCTGAAAGAGAAAATGTCCTTCAGGGCTGGTTCCTCAAAATGTTCCATGTAATACAGTGGCTACACTTGCTTAAACCAGAGAGCAGCTCTGAAAGAGGGGACTGGCCATGGGAGGCACCAAGAACAGGGCCACAGCCCAGTCAACCAATACTAAGCACGAGTGAGGTCAGATGCTGGTGTGTCTGTCCCTGTGTGTGCACAACCTGTGCCTTCCTATGGTAGGCCTGCCATACTTACAGTGCCATGTTCATGGTTCAAGGGCTTTTGCTGATGCTGCTTAGCTTTTTAGGCTTTTTTTTTTTTTAAAAAAAAAAGACAGTCTTGTTCTGTAGACCAGAGCAGCCTGTGACCTGTAGCAATCCTCCTGCCTTAGCATCTGAGATGACAAGTATGAGCCATTGCACTTGACTTTCAGATTTATTTTCATAACCTCTTGCAAGTGGTCTACAGTGACTTTTAGATTTGGGTATTCATTGGCCACTTAGGAAACAAAAAGTTAAGCTTCACATGTAAAGTTAAAAGACAACACACTCCTATCCAAAGCCAGGCCCCTGCATGCTTGTACACCAAGGACTCTCAAAACTAAGGCAAAAGGAGCAGTTCAAGGCTAGTATTAGACTAAGGCTATTATGTCTGAGTTATTAATTAGAACTATCTAGAAGGAAAAAAGAACTTTAAAAACTTATCCATAGCCAAGGAAAATGCTTGGGTGAGGAGGTCAGAGTGACTATCCTGCTTGGTCTCTAATGGCACCCTCTAATCCTCTCACAGGACTCATATGTTTCCACCAGCACAACTCCACGAAAGCACTGTCATCGGTATACCTCTAAGCTGCATCTTGAGAGAGCAGCACAGCTGGGACAGGCCGTCTGAAGTCTGAGCCTAAGTGCTGCCCACCAGGGCCCCGCTGTGGAGAACCTAAACCTCCACATACTCTGAGTCATCTGGGGCCCTCCACAATGCAAGCCCTAGAGGCCAGGCTTAGCCTTCTTCCAAATCAAGAGAAAGAAAGGCAACTGCTGAAACCTGGGAGTACCTGCGCTGAATGGATTACATCCCTTCTGTTAGGCCATGCTCTTAAAGCACAGCAAGTGTAAGGAAATGGAAACTGACTATCAATCAAAGTGCAGCTAAGAATGAGGTTTGGCAAAGCTAAGCTCTAGTATAAGGAGCCAGTTGGCTAAGCCAGCTAGAGCTCATTCTGTCAAAAAAAAATTGGGAAAACTAAGTTTCAATGTGCTGGCTAGTTTTGTTATCAAATTGACACAGCTCAAGTCCTTGTCAGAGAGGAAGAATCTCAATCAAGAAAATTCCTCCATAAGATCCAGCCATAGGCAAGTCTGTAGGGCATTTTCTTAATTAGATTTATGTGGGAGGACCCAGCTCATTGTGAGTGGGGCCACTCCTGGGCTGGTAGCACTGGGTTCTGTAACAAAGCAGACTGAGCAAGCCATGAGGAGCAAGCCAGTAAGCTGCACTCCTCATGGTCTCACTTGAGTCCCTGTCCCGACTTCCTTCAGTGATGAACAGTGCTACGAAAGCATAAGGCAAATAAACCCTTTCCTCCCCAAGTTGCATTGGTCATGGAGTTTCATCACAGGAATGGTGACATTAAGACACTAGGTAATCCAAGATGGCCCCAAACTCAACACTGGTTAAGAGGACTGGTTACTCTTCCAGAGGGCCCTGGTTTGATTTCTAGCACCACATAGCAGCTAACTGTAACTCCAGTCCCAAGGGATTCAAGGCCCTCTTCTTACCTCCTTGGACATCAGGCATGCAAGTAGTACATGCAGGCAAAATACCAAGATACATAAAATAAATTAATTTAAGGAAAGGATAGACACACAGACAGCACTCAAATGGGAAGAACCACAGCCAGTCACTAGCTAACTAATGTCTTCCTGTCTGCAGGAGAGCATGTCCCAAGCTAATCTCCCAGGGAGCTCAGTGGTTCCTCTGCCCACCTTGTCCTCCAGCGCCGCCATTCTCTCCTTCAGATGCAGCTGCAGCCTCTCATTGGATTCTGAGAGCAGCTTGTCCACAGTGTCAGACAGGCGCTTATTATGTTCCTCGTTCATCTTTTCTCTCTGCCTTGCCTAGAACAGGAAGGGAAAACTTCCAACTTCAAGCTCACGTCCAGCCTTTCAGAAGCACTGGACCAATGATCACCAGAGGCTGTGCTCCCATCTTCTCATCCCCAAGGGATTTTCAAGTGACAATTACCTCTGGGACATGAAACACTCAGGACAATCCTGGAGAGGCTGCTGCCTTTGCTAAACCAAGACCTACAACTGTCTCAAGAATGTCAGTAGCTGCCGGGCGGTGGTGGCGCACGCCTTTAATCCCAGCACTTGGGAAGCAGAGGCAGGTGGATTTCTGAGTTCGAGAGTTCGAGGCTAGCCTGGTCTACAGAGTGAGTTCCAGGACAGCCAGGGCTACACAGAGAAACCCTGTCTCGAACAAAAAAACAAAAACAAACAAAAAAAAAACAAAAACAAAAAAAGAATGTCAGTAGTTTCTAGCTCTCAAGTGCACTTAGCAGAGCTCCATGAGAGGACAGAAGAAATTTGAGCAATCAGTGCATCTGCATATTGACCCAGGAATTGCTCTGGATGTGAATAAAAGCTTGGGTCTAGGTTTAAGAGGAAAAGAATTAACTTTACAAAGTGAAGGCTGAACAAGCTGATTTTTAATCAGTAGAGATGCAGGCCATCTCTACCTACAGTCAAAACTACAAATGACACTGTAGTAAGTCTGCAATGGGCTAACACAAGGCTAGAGCTGCACCTGCTCAGCACACACTCAAGACAACATCACTCAGTTCTCAACACCAAGACAGAACTGAATTTCCAAGGAAGGGCTGCATCGGGCCCAGAAACCCTGCACGGAGAAGTATGGGTAGTAGCACCTTCCAAGGCCCTCAGAGTATGCCTGACAGAAAATAACTGCCCCATGGGAGGAGGCTTTCCAGGAAGACACCTGACAGCCTTTCTCTGAAAAGTGTGCTTGCTTCTGTTCAAACTGAACACTCTCAAAGCCAACAGCTGAAAGTTCAAGTGTAATGTGACTATCTGCTCCAGGGTTCAGTATTACTGTGAGCCTCATAGGCTCTCTAACAATGTGCCTAAGCCTATGTTGCCTAAGACCTAATACAGGAGCTTAAAATCATCACTTCCCAGTTCTCCTAATTCTCTGCAGCTTTTTGTTTATTTGTTTGTTTGTTTGTTTTTGTTTTGTTTTTCGAGACAAGGTTTCTCTGTGTCATCCTGGCTGTCCTGGAACTCACTCTGTAGACCAGGCTGGCCTCGAACTCAGAAATCCACCTGCCTCTGCCTCCCAAGTGCTGGGATTAAAGGCATGAGCCACCACTGCCCGGCTCTCTGCAGCTTTAAATAAGACAGAAAACACTAGCTGCTGTGCTGTGCAAGGGCTCCACAGCCACACCCCCATGCTTCCTCCCTCCACAGTAGGCCCATGGCAGGTTAAGGTCCAGGACTGTTACTTGTCCTGTGTCTGGATGCCTCTGCCTGCCTCTCCCAGGACAGATCCTACAACCCAGCTGTAACAACGCTCTCCTAGCTGCTATGGTGTGTTAGTACTCAATTCCTCTGACACCATCACATCCTAAGAGGCAATTCAGGACCTGAGGACAGATCAGTCCTCTGGCCTGAACATGGGATTTCAATCCCTCATGTCAAACAGGGCCAGTAACCTAAAGAGCCAGGCCTCTGCTCTGAGTTTAACAGGGCTCGCTGGCTAGCACTCAGACTCTAGGGCAGAGGTTCTCAAATGATGGGTCAAGACCCCTCAAGATTCAAGCAACCCTTTCAGAGGCATCGCATATCAGATATTTATATTGCAATTCTTAACAGTAGCAAAATTACAGTTATGAAGAAGTAACAAAATAATTGTATGATTGGGGTCACTACAATATGAAAAACTGTATTAAAAGGTTGAAGCATGGGGCTAGAGAGATGGCTCAGCGGGTAAGAGCACTGACTACTCTTCCAGAGGTCCTGAGTTCAATTCCCAGCAACCACATGGTGGCTCACAACCATCTGTAATGGGATCCGATGCCCTCTTCTGGTGTGTGTGAAGACAGCAACAATGTACTCACATAAAATAAATAAATAAATAAATCTTTAAAAAAAAAAAAAGGTCAAAGCATTAGAAAGGTCCACCACTGCTCTAGGGAGACCCAACAATTCTCTTAAGGGGATAAAAAAAGCAAGAAGTCCTCTGGAACTCAGAGAGCCTAACTGTACCTGAGTACTGCTGCCTGGAACACCTCTGCTGCCATCGATGCTGACACAACAGCCAGTATGTAATAAACACAGTGGTGCATTCCAGAAAGACCATGGTCAGGTCCACAGGACAAGAATCAGATAGAAGGAAGGAAACTGTGGCAGAGAAGCCTAAGCCTACAGTGGCCTGTGTCCCACCTGTTGAAACCAGCCTCAGCCCCATCCGTACCCGCTGCAGCTCCTGATTTTTCTCCTCCAGCTGTGCCTCCATCTGCCGCAGCCTCTCTTCAATGTTGCCATGTCTCTCCTCAGCCTGCCGGCAAAGATGACAGAAGCTGAGCCTCTGCTCATTTCCAATCACACTGGCTACAAACCACTGTAGCAGCAGCAAGCATCTCATGCTATGTGGACCGTGTCAACCCTGGCAAAGGGACACTTCTTCATATCCATCAGCGCCTCCTCTGTGGTTTCAATGTGCACACCATGAAGCGACTAATCCATCTGTGCTGACCTGAAGCGTGGTGGGTGCTAGTGACTGCCTTTCTGTGTCCCCCACCCTGCCCTGCCTTGGACAACCCATCCCATTCGCTGAGTGCCTCTGGTAGTCAGCATGGAGAGCAGGAAGCAGCAAGCACAAGCACAGGGCACAATTCTACCTTCCTAAGCTTGGAAGTAAGCTCCAACAGTTTTGCTTCCTTAGCAGCAGAACTCCCAGAAGGCAAAGGACCAGACTATAAAGCGACAGGACAGGAAGGACAGCAGGGAGAAAAGAAACCAAGACTTTAGGAGGGGACCACAGAGGGGAGGACCAAGGTACTGTTACAGCTGACAAGGATAAGATGTCCAGAGCTAGATCCAGGAGTGGGGACAGGGCCCACATTCATCAATAGAATGCAGTTTTCATCTGGGCCCCTCTCCCATCCCTCCCCAGCAACTAAGACCAAGCCTGGGGTATAGGATCCTGCCAGGGATACATCCACAGCCTCTGTTCATGCTGTTGTGCCTCTAAAACCCAGTCATCACTCTGGAGGCTCCTGATTCCTGCCGACCCTGCTCTGGATGGTGAGGACCCAGAGAGCCAACACCTTAACAACAGTGATGATAAACAAGAGCGGTGCATTAAAAGCACAGTTTTAAGCATTGTAGTATGCTCCTCAAGTCCCACCTATTTGCTGGCTGAGGAAGGAGGGTCACTAGAGGGAGGAGTTTAGGGCCACACTGGGCTATAGTGAGACTCCATTTCAACAAGCAAATAAACCTTTTAAAGTAATTTCAAAAGAATGAAATTACTTAAAAACTGACTATCTTGAAAGACTAATGTCATCTTTGAGAAATCTGAGAGAAGCGACAACCTTTCTTCAAGTTGGTGAGAGAAATAATCGAAGCAGCTGTGATTCTTGGACCTGACACTGAGGACAGCAGCGTTTACCTGACAGGGTTTTGGGGACTGGTGGGGAATAAAGGTCTTGAGCTACACAGGAACAGCATTCCCATCATACAGCAGCATGGACAGTCCATGGATGCAAGCACACAGACAAGAACATCAAGGCCTAGCCTGTGAGCCCACATGGCCCAGGCGCACCTTGGAGAGTGCAGCCACCCTCTGGGCTAGCTCGGCCTCCACCTCCGGCAGCGTCTCAGCTTTGCGCAGGGTCTGCTGCAGCTTCTGCTCTGCCAACTCCAGACGCTCTTGCAACTGACGGTTCTTGTCCTCTGTCTAGAAAGGGCACAATCGGGAGTTCAGGCTGCTGCTTCAGACACCTGACAAAGCACCTTATGGCTTCAAGGATTTATCTTTTTAAACAAACAAAGAAAACAAAACAAATACAGGTTCCTATACTTAAAGAAAAATGAGTTAATCCTGTGAGTTGCTCATTCTGACAGAGAATGAGTCACTGCCCAGAGTGCTGCCTGAAAGCCCAGCCTGTGATAAACTGTTCTAAAAATGCTTGGATATGAAACCCACTGCAGAAAATCTAAGTAAAGCAAGAAAGAACCTGTGCATGTTGGGAGTGAGACCCGGGGGCTATTGTCTGTGGACACTGTCCCCATGCTCTGGGGAAGCTACTGTTTGTGGACACTGTCCCCCTGATCTGGATGAGGTACTATCTGTGGGCACTGTTCCCCTACTCTGGATGAGCTACTGTCTGTGAGCACTGTCTGTCCCCCTGCTCTGGATGAGCTACTGTCTATGGGCACTGTTCTCCTGCTCTGGGGGAGCTACTATCTGTGGGCACTGTTCCCCCTGCTCTGTGTGACCACAACAAACATTAGGCCTCACCCTAGTTCCTCATTCTAAGCACTGTTTCATGGCAGCAGTTTTCACAGCTGCCTAATTTATTTTTGGTCAAGCAATGCTCTTTGCCCTTAATAAAATCCTTTCCAGCAGCCTGACTAGGTTTCTTTGGTTAGCTCAATGACCCGAGACAACACAACGAACAGCGTGATGGCCAACTCCTATCACCTCTGACTTCTAGTGCTGCTGTTGAGTGCACTGTTCAGCACTGCCAGCAAGCTCTTACCTCCACTTAGTGAAAGGACTGAAAAGAAGCAACTGGCTTCCAATGAAACACAACAAAGGGGAGACAGCTCCGTGGGCAAAGTGTCTGTTGTGCAAGCATGAGAACCCAAGTTCAATCCCCAGTACCCACAGTTTTAAAAAGGGCTGGGTCAACAGCACATGCTTGTAACCCCAGCACTGTGGAGGCAGCCTAGCAGGAACCTTGGTATTCACTGCCCTGTCAGTCAAGACAAGACATGAGCTCCACATTCAGTGAGAGACCCTATCTTAAAAAATTACAGTGAAGAGGCTAGAAAAATAGCTCTTTGGTTAAGAGCATTTGCTGCTCTTCCAAAGGGCTCAAATTTGATTTCCAGCACCTACATTCACTGGTTTACAACCACCTGTATGTAACTTCAGCTCCAGAGGATCCTATATGTTCTTCTGAATTCCACAGGCACCTGCACTCACACAAAGATGTACCCACACAAAAGTATACAAGATTAAAAATTTTTTAATTTTTTTTAAAAAATCTTTAAAATATATCTGAAATTAAAATAAAGTAAGTAAGGTGGAGAGTGATGGAGAAAAGACCCCTGACTTTGACCTCTGACTACCACATGCACACACACATACAGGTGCAAATGTGTAAGCATACAACAACACATACAGGCACAGGCACACATTAACACTCATACCAAAAAAAAAAAGGAATAAAAGAATCAAGGTTCTATAAACTGCTAAGAAGTAAGTCAAAAGAAAAATGACTTAAGTATGCGATTTCCAATATGCAATTTACAAAGGAAAGGTCTTCAGCTTCACAGATAAAGCTAGAAAGGGGCCCACAAAGCCCAGTACCTGTCGGTGCATGGAGTCTTTATTTGCAATTTCATTTTCAAGTTTGTCATTGAGGTCATGCACAGACGTGGCTTCACGCTGTGCAGCGAGGTAGCGTTTCTCAAGGGTGGTGATTCTCTCCTCCATATCCTCCTTCTGGGCCATTGCCTATGTTGGAGATTCCAGAGGGAGATGGGGATGATAAATGCAGAACTCGTCACAACACTCAGGAGATAGAAAGCCACTAAACATCTCAAGCATGAGACTACTGCTCCCCAATGTAAGTTTTACAAACTGAGTGAAAATGGACATACTTTAGGCATATTTGCCCACATGATCAACAGCTTCGCCTGGTCAATCTGCTCATGTCACTAAGCATGTACCTGACTAATAAAACACCCCATACGACACTTCAAGCATCTAGGAATCTGAAGGCACCTGCAGTGAAGGTGTAGCCTGTGTCTGCTCAAATAACAACCAGGCTTACAGAGTACTGTGGGCAGAACTGCTTCATTTTCTCAGGTAAGAGCTGGACTCACAAACCTCAAGTATATTGAAAAATGAGACAGAAATCAGCAGCAAAGCCAAAGCAACAAACCCCAAACACGGAGCCTAGGACCTGACTTTTGGCATAGTTGGTATTCTGTCTTCCATCCCCCAATTCAGTTTTTAGCTCCTTTCTTATTTCCTTTTTTGTTGTTGTTGTTGTTGTTGCAGGGTTTCTCTTTATAGCCCTGGCTGTCCTGGAACTCACTCTGTAGACCAGGCTAGCCTTGAACTCAGAAATCCGCCTGTCTCTGCCTCCCGCCTGTCTCTGCCTCCCAAGTGCTGGGATTAAAGGCATGCATCACCACCGCCCAGCATCCTTCCTTATTTCCTAACCGACTGTTGGCAACTATATAATTTTATTGCACTGAAATGATGTTTTGCCTGCATGTATGTCTGTGTGAGGGTGTCAGATCTCCTGTAACTATAGTTAAATTATAGGCAGTTGTGAGTTGCCATGTGAGTGCTGGGAATTGAACCCAAGTCATCTAGAAGAGCATTCATTGCTTTTAATCACTGAGCCATCCTTCTAACCCCCTTAATATACTTCTTAAAGAGGCAAGTCTTAAAAGAACATCTCGAAAAAAAAAAAAAAAAAAAGAACATTTCAACATTCTACCACAGAAATAATTCCCTATGGCCCAAGAACAGCACAACCTAGTAAGTTCTCTAATACATGTAGTGTTTCCTTTGACCTGAATTCTTACAATAAATCACATTCATCTCCACAACTAAAGCTCCCTGGTCTCACACATGCTATAAGGTGGGGGCCTCCAGGAGTAACAAAAGACAGGTTCAGGTGGGCCAGAAAAAGTGTTACAAGAAAGCATGTAGCCCTCATTTCTTTTCCAATGATTAAAGAGGGTCTTGTAATTTACCAAAGAAAACTGGTTATGAAGTGTATATATAAAGAACCTGATGATCAGAGTGAACAACCTCTGTTCTCGGCACCATACAATACAAAACAACAGACAACAGCTGGTATACTTCTTCTCACCCCTACAGAAGCACAACTAACATCATGTCTGTGGGCTCTGTGAGCAAGTGAGAAGAAACTGAATATAAGAAAGAGCACACTTGCCAGGAAATGGTGGCGCACGCCTTTAATCCCAGCACCTGGGAGGCAGAGGCAGGCAGATTTCTGAGTTCGAGGCCAGCCTGGTCTACAGAGTGAGTTCCAGGACAGCCAGGGCTACACAGAGAAACCCTGTCTCAAAAAAAACAAAAAACAAAAAAAAAAACAAAAAACAAAAAAAGAAAGAAAGAAAGAAAGAAAGAAAGAAAGAAAGAAAGAAAGAAAGAAAGAAAGAAAGAGCGAGCACACTACAGCAGTCATGGAGGCATGTGACCCTCAAGTGAAGGGTGCAGGAGAGAGGGCACCCAGTGTGTATCCTAAAGGTCCCAGTCTGTGAGAGCGAGAGATAAAGAGAGCAGGAAGCCAGGTGCACCCCACACTTACTTCACGGACTTCTCGCTGCAGTTTCGTATTCATCTCTTCAGACTTGATGAGGTCTTTTCGAGCTGTGTCCAGATCCTCTTCCAGCTCTGCTGCATGACTGGACAGAGAGGCCAGGCGCTCCTTCATCTGGCTCTGCTCTCTCGCCTGCCTGTCTATGACTTCCTGCAGCTCCAGCACTTTGGCAAGATCCTCATGACTCAAGGAGCCATCAGAAGATCTCTGAAAAGCACAGCCTTATGGCACCATTTGGCATCCTCCATGAAAACACAGACCTTCAGAGGATCCTGTGTGCTCCTCAGTGGACACAGACCTTGCCACTATTCCCCAACAGCCCCACATGGCAAAATAAAACCAGAGACCCCACAGGAAAAAAAAAAAAGTCAAGGACTTGCCTTGCCGTTGGTGCTTGGTGCGCTTTCCTGTTCATGGTTCCCGTCAAGCATTCCATCTGTCAGTGTTTTCTTCTGATTATTCTGTTCTTTAAGAATCATTAGCTAAAAGAGAAAAGTTGAACTCACTAGCATGAGATCTTACGAAAGAGAAATGAGCAAAGGTGGCCAGTGGCTTTGGGAGACAAGTGGCTCTAACAGCTGTGCAGCCAAGAGCTCAGGGCAGAGCTCTAGAAACCATCTGTCATCCACAGAGAGAGAGGTACTTGGGAGAGGCTGAGGGCTGAGACAGAGTCCAGTGACCCCAGTATGTTGATCTACACCTAGGAAAAGAAGTAACCTGTGGTGTCTATTACTGGCTTATACTTGTAAAAGTAAGTAATAAGAATCAACCTCGTAAGGTCCAATCCCATGACAGAACCCATTCTTACCTCTTTGTGGGTGGCACCCAGCTCCTCTTCTAACAAGCTACACCTCTCCAGAGCCACTCGAAGTCGCTCCCGTACCTACAAGTGAAGGGCTGAGTGTGCATCTGGATTCCTGCCATATGCCCAATGCAATACAGCATTGGTGGAATACAGCCAATTGGCACTCTACCGCCACTTTTGAGTCGGCCTGACTGGAATCTGGGAACCCCAGCTGGCCCAGTCTCCTAAGTGCAGGAACTACAGGTGTGCATGTTTTTAATTTGACAAAATCTTGTTCCTAAATAAGTCAGACCACTAATTATTTTCTTTTTAGGGAGGGGAGGAAAAGGTTGAGATAGAAACTTGCCACAGAGCCCAGGCTAGCCTACTACTAATCTATGTAGCTGAGCAGACTTCAATCTCTCAGCAAGCCTCCTTACCTCTCAAAGGCTAGGCTTTAGGAATCATACTTGGGCCAAATTCATATTAGCACATTGATAAAACATTTTAAGACAGTCACATCAAAGATGCTCATCAGCCCATAGGTCAGTACCTTCTAACAGAGACAAGTTTTTCACAGGAGCTCCAAAAGTTACAAAACATGATCATAGTGCCAATGAAGGCCCCCTGACAGGGCACATAGCTGTCGGTGTGGTGATGGTACCTTCTCATCCAAGGCTTTGTGGTGCTCAAACAGTGACTTCAGGGCTTTCAGCACCTCCACCTCACTGGACACGCCTGCAGGCGACTGTGCTTGCCTCTTCACCACTGTCATCCGTAGGGAGCGCTCGTGCCTGGAGACGAGGCACTCCAGATGCTCCAGAAGCAGCTGCAACAGAGCCCAGCAGCAGTAAAGCACTTGCCTCATAGGGAAGATAAAGTCAACATAGCACAAGCAGAGAAGTCCCCTAGGCTGAATTAAAACCTGCTAAGGTCCCAAAGGTGCCCAATGGGCTGATGACCCCTCTGCAGGGTGGGAAGGGCATAAGTGACTGACCCTAGTGTTGTTCCTCTCTGCCTTCAGCTCGGCGATTTCCTCCTCTCTCTCCAGAAGCTGCTCCCTACACACATTGAGTTCCTTCGTGAGCGCAGCAAACTCCTAGAGCGTGACAAGCACAAGAAAGATTGAATGAATTAATGCACAAACAGAAATCTGAGAAAAGACCCCAAGAGCCTCCATTAAAATGCATTGGAAAGTGTCTCTGATCTTCCAAAGAAAGGGGGACTGACTGACCTGTCTCCAGGCTTCCCTAATAACCCAGGCCTTTCATCCAGCCCTGCAACCTTCCCTCTCCTATGTCCCAGTCATGGCCAGTAGGCATGGTGCAATCCAAGCCCACATCGTCAGCAACCTAAGAGGATCAGGAATAGAGCAGGTAAAGACACTGTTAGCAACCTGAACACATGACTTAGCACCACTGGAGACAGCAAAGAAAAACCTCCAAGGTGCCACGTGCTGGTAGCCACATGCCTTTAATCCTAGCACTTGGGAGGATGAGACAGGAGGATGTCTGTGAGTTCGAGGCCAGCATGGTCTACAGAGTAAGTTCCAGGACAGCCAGGACTACACAGAGAAACCCTGTCTCAAAACAAACAAAACAAAAAAACCCTACAGCCTGGCTTGGTCTAACTTCCTCTTTCTAGGGCATTTCAGGGTTAGTCTTCTAAGCAGAAAGTATCCCCAAAGGCAAACCTTAAAAACTGTTTTTTTCGCCAGACAGTGGTGGCGCACACCTTTAAATCCCAGCACTTGGGAAGTAGAGACAGGTGGATTTCTGAGTTCGAGGCCAGCCTGGTCTACAGAGTGAGTTCCAGGACAGCCAGGGCTACACAGAGAAACCCTGTCTCAATAAACAAAAAAACAAAAAACAAAACAAAAAAACCCAATAAATAAATAAATAAAAATAAATTGATTTTTCTTAAGACCAACCCTTTTGCAATGATGAGGAGAGCTCCTGGGGGCTGACCATGGTGCTGCCCCAGGGTACTTCTTACACTGTCTACTAAGTAAGTGTTCAGGACACCAAGGACAAGCTGAGTATAAGCCATGTGTCTACAAGCTCTTGCCAGTTTCTCAATGGGGCCAAGCCCTTGGAAATAATTGCTCAGAAGTAATTCACTGCTGGGCGGTGGTGGCGCACGCCTTTAATCCCAGCACTTGGGCGGCAGAGGCAGGTGGATTTCTGAGTTCGAGGCCAGCCTGGTTTACAGAGTGAGTTCCAGGACACCCATGGCTACACAGAGAAACCCTGTCTCGAAAAACAAACAAACAAACAAACAAACAAACAAACAAACAGAAGTGATCCACCTGCTGTTTCTCTGGGCTAGTGGCCCACCTTATACAAAGCCAATCACGCATTCAAAGTATAAAGAGTGGTAGGCAATTTTCCTTTAAAACGCAGGCACACGTCTTTGATTCAGTCAGGTGATCCTGAGTTCAAGAACAGTCTAGTCTACAGAGCAAGTTTCGGGAGACAGAACTTCCCTACTTTTAAGCAAAAAACAAAGCAAACAAACAAACAAAAAGCAGGCCATGTGTTCAAATTCTACCCACAAGAAGTGCTGCCACTCAGCCAACTGACTACTAGTCATCCATTCCGGCTTCATCAGGCTGGCCCAGCAATGTTGCCTGTGCCCCAAGGCTGTGGGTGAAAACAGCCAACAGTTGGAAGAGCTCTCTCTCTCTCTAGGGAGCAGCTCGAGAGAGACAGAGGACATGGCTAAAAGCCAGTAGTGGCCATTAGATCCCCTGGAACGGGAGTTATAAACTGTTGTCAGTTGCCTTGGGGGTGCTGGTTACTGAACCTGAGTCCTCTAATAAGCACTGCAAGTACTCTTAACTGCTGAGCTCTCTTTCCAGACCCAGGATATAGTGGATGAAAAAGAACAGCAGGCACCAAGACTATGTGTAGGTTGAGACTGTGTAGTCACCACTCACGGTGCCATGCCTAGGGATTCTGCAAGCCAGGGCTATTAACTGATACTGCCATATTTAACAGACATCATGATGACCTTCATGGGCATCAGAACATACATGGTATACATATGTACGTGTAGGAAGAACACTCATACACATAAAAATTAACCCCTCCCAAAATAAGTCTGAGCGAAATAAATCTCCATTTCCATTTAATATTATCAGGTTTCATTAAGGAACTAATATTAACCACTAAAATTAGTTCACAAATTTGGTCCACAATGCTTGGCTTGGCCCCTTCCACACTTGTGTGATGTTCCGAACTCCAGACTCTGCCAGCACCATCAATGGCACCTTTTACTGTTTAAATTTTATTTTGTTGTTATGCTAAAAACATCCATGATTATTCCAGATTAAAAGGGTACTTAAGCCACACACCACGTCAGGGACAGCCTGAGGATACTGTGCTGTTGAAATAAGCCAGACCCAGTAGCAGAAACACTGTGGGAAAGGTGAGCGTCTTCATCTGCATCATGTAATTAAAAAACAAAACAAAACTTCAAAATGGAGTATGGTGGGGGACCTTCATTAAAGACAAAAAAAAAAAAAGGTCAATTCTTGTTTTAAGACAGAGTATAAAGAAAAAACAGGAACAGTAAAATGAGTCTCAACACAAAAGCCAACTCACACAACTAAGGCCACTTGCAGTCAATGTGGGCGGAGCTGTACACGTTGTCACACCAACACTCATCTCCCCACCCATTGTCCACACTAACACAAGCTAAGGGAGAAAAGGGCTGGAGAGACAATCTTGCCCATGATTCACTGCCTCTTGGGACCCGCCCAGAGCCTCATGAGCACAGAAGCAACAGCTTGTCAGAAGCTAAACATTATCTATGAGTAGCAGGTAAATACACTGGGCACAGCACTGCATTGCTGTGGTCCCAGCCGTTGGGAGGCAAAAGCAGGGAGGATCACCAGCTTGAGACCAGCCTGGACTGTGGAGAGGGTCTGTCTCAGAAGATATAAACAACTTCCGCACATACTTAGCAGATGGGCAGCTTGGTCTCCGTGTTGCTCCCAAACAACTGGAGTGGGAGGCTATCCCTAAAGCTGTTGCCTGTCTGTGGAATCCATTCCCCTAACTTAGCTGTCATGTCTGGCCTCTGTGGGAGAAGACGCACCTAGCTGCAGAGACCTGATGTGCCAGGTTAGGATGACTGTCAGGGAGGCTGGTTTTGCTAAAAGCAAATGGACATCTCTTCTTTATACAGATCAACTACAGAAAAATACATTTGAACTGTTAGTGCTGTGATCTACTGTAGCCAGTGAAGGTGCTAAAAGTGACCATTTATATCTCTCCGTAAGGACAGATTGTTGAGCATTAAAACTTGAAAAAAGTGGCCAGCAAGATGGCTTGTGGGTAAAGGCACTTGCTGCACAAGCCCAACACTCTGTGAAAGGATAAAACTGACTCCTGAAAGTTGTCCTCTGACTTCCACACATGTGCCACGGGACATACATGCATACATGTGCACATGTATGTGTGTGTATATACACATACTCTTTGTGAAGAAGGTGAAAGCTCAATTGCATGGGCGTAAGGACTGGCCACTTGGAGCCAACTTGCTCAGGGATGGCCCACATTCCTCCCTGGCCTGCAAGCCCTACTCCTGTCCTTACCATCTGTGCAGCCTGGCTTCAGGCCCACTTCCTCCCCAGAAGAGTTCAGGCCAACACAGCTTCCACTGAGGGTAGGAGCTAGCTTCCATCCCCTCCTGATCTGGCCTGCTAGAGAGCAAGGGCTGCCAGAAGCCACCCATGCACCCCATTTCCTGCTTTGCCACTTTAGAATATAGGTGACCCTGGGGTGTACTGCCTGTCCTACCTCCGGCCCTATGCCCATCTGTGCCTGTTTCTATTTGGATACCTCCTACGGCTCCATATACTCTCACACCGGGATGATCACTTCTTCCTGCCCTGCCTCCAGCTCCTAAGCCAGTGAACATCAGCACCCAGTCACACAGGTCTGATACGCAGGCGGCATGTCACCTCCTTCCACTCCCTATATCACCTGCCACTGGGAACTCCTATGGCTGACTGCATCTCCAGCATGTCTCTTCTGGAGCCATCTACTTCCCAGCTCTTAACTGTTTCATCAAGCCACCATGACTGCTTGTTCCACTACAGAGCTGCCTCATTCCCTGGATCCCCCTTCTTCTTGCTTTCAAATCTGTCTTCTGTTTTTCTGAAACAAAAACCTGAGACTCTTTTACTTAGATTCCTTCACAAAGGTGCTGTGGCATAAGGTCAATACCAAAGCTCCTTTGTACTGGTGAGAAGCAATAGCACCTGCTGAAAGCCTATTCTGGCATCCGGGTAACAGAAAACTAGCAGGGTATGGAGTTGCAATTGGGTCATGTTAATAGCAGCTGATTCACCACCACCACTCACCACCACTGACAACAGCAGGCCATTTACCAGGTCAACACTACTGACAGAACAAAACTTAACTAGAGCCCAGCAAGAAACTCTGAACTCTTAAGTGTGCATACATATAGACAGACAGACATATATACATTTGGGAGATGGAGCAGAGTCCCAATAGCCCAACTTTATTTTTCTTCTTAGCCTTTTTATACCTTTTTAGACAAAAAAAAAGTTCTTTATAAAATGACCTCATAGATAAATGTTACACAAAAGGAAAGTAACAGAAGGATGTCCATAATAAGTTCAAAGCAGCGTTGCATTCTATAAGCTCATTATAAGTTCAAAGCAACAGTTTCACCTGGCCTTGCTTTATCATAGTGCACACCTGTGGCTTCTTCCTCGGACTTGACCTAGAATGAATGTTTCCCCTTGATCACGAATCTGTCCCAAGCCTACTTCTCTTCTTAGTGTAATTTATGCAAGCTCATTGTCCTCTTTATTACTCAGTCTTTACTCACTATTCTATAAGGAGGGAGGGGCACAATCTGTTCTTGATTCTAACTTTATTATATCTTTCTGGCAAAACAACAACAACTATCTCCTTAAACTTTCTTCCTAAAATTATATAAGGTCATTAATTCATCTAAGCAGCATTAATTCATGATAATTCATCTTCATGTTGATCTGCAAGAAAACCCAATAGGGTGAGCTAAAGCCCAGGAATCATTATCAGCAGCAAGAAGCAATCCTGG